ATGACTGTTTTCACCACCAACTGCTAGTCACCTGTGGCTGAAGCTCCCATAATGCTCTGCAACTCAGCAGCCAGTCAAAACACAACAGCTAGAGGAACCATACAGCATTATAACATTTATGAGGGAAGCAGCGCCACACCCGTACTTGTTATATTACCTGAGGTGGGGAAAGGGAGGTAATCAGGTTTGACCTAAGGATTGAGAGGGCAGGTCTAATTAATTGGATCAAGGACTTCTTACAAGAATCAAGGAACCTCCCTCGAGGAGGAAGCAGTAGAAACTGTAAGCCCCTAATGAAGAAATGTGTCAAGAGCTCAAAATGCAGTTTTCTATGATACCCAGGGCCCCCCATAAGTACCTGTACTCCAAGTGCCCAAGATAGAGGCAGCTATTTACTGGAGGTGCAATCAAGGTAGGTATATCCTGAAGACAAGAACCCTGGAAGTATTTAGAGCAATTTTGACAGACACTAATGATCAAGAAGAAATGGAACGTAACAGGATGTTGACACCCTACTATAATCCAATACCACACCAGAGTGTAAATTGGTCAATTAGGTTGAATTGCCTTAAAAATTAAACATTTAAAAAAAAATAGGATTTATACATATTTTTTATTGAAAATGGTGTAAAAAGTTTTAGTTTTGCACCAAACACAACTCTGACACCTTACCTAACCTGATTTATTTTTACCTGATTCTACTGAATATATCAGATCAGTCCAAGTGTATTAAATACGTATATATATACATTTTTTTACTAAATTTAAAAAAAAACTTTCGTTTTTCTTTTTGGGGCCACCCCGCCTTGGTGGGATACGGCCGGTTTGTTGAAAAAAAAAAATACATTTTTACATTATTTTCAGTAATTTTCTATTTGGCAAAAATGACCCTTGCTTTTTAAACCAAATTCACCAATTCAGCTTATTCAGCATGACATACATACATATATACAGTGGAACCTCGGTTTTCATGATTAATTTGTTCCAGAGTGTCTGACAGAAAGTGAAGCAATGTTTCCCATAAAAAATAATGTAAATCCAATTAATCTGTTCCAGACACCCAAAAATAATAACAAAAATACATTTTATAGAGAATAACTATAGTTTTACATACATAAAACAATGAGAAATAAATATAAATGACTAATGAAATGGATAAATGAACATTTAACATCACTTTTATCTTATTGAAGACTCTTATTGGTGAGTGGAAGATGGCAAGGAGGGGAGAGGGAGGAGGAGAGGTTACTGTTTGGAAGGGGAATCTCCGTCTATAAGAAATTCAGGTATCAAGGCCCTAATCCAGGGTTACTTCCCTTCTTTGTCTTTTACTGGCACTAGGACCAGCTTGAGAGTCATTAGATCCCTATCGTACAAAATATCTGTCCAGAGAGGTCTGTTTCTGGCGTCTCTTTAAGATATGCCTAAAATGGGACAAGGCACTGTCATTGAACATGCTGCAGACATGGCTTGCAACAGCTTTGTTAGGGTGATATTTCTCCACAAAACTTTGCAACTCATTCCACTTTGAACACATGTCCTTTGTGAGGTCCACATGCAACTGCCTTGCCTTTTTGCAAATTATCATCTCCACAACACTATCTCCCACTGTTTTTTGTTGATCCACACCAACAACTACGTACTTCATAACATCTTGCTATCTCTGTATGTTAGCACATTTACCCCTTTCACAAAATCAACTTTCTTGATTTCTTTCTTCTTTGCCAGGATGGAATTGATCATTGATGCGGACGTCCCGTACATCCTGGCGAGATCGGCCATGTGTATGCCACTTTTGTACTTTGCTACGAGTTCTTTGTTGAATTCTATCGTGTTTCTCGCCTTCTTTATCAAAAGGCTGGCACTCAGAACTTTCTTTGGGCCCAAGGTGGCTTATTTAGCATTAGCACTCCATAAACAAGCACAAACAACAATGGATTATTATGAAATGTTTCGGATGAATGGGCGGAGTAATGCTCACCCAGTGAAAAATAAAGCCAGACTGAGTCAGAATGCATGGGATGCTTTGTGTGGGCACGGGCAGGCAGATGTGTTTGGTACGGCGAACCATTGTCAACTCTACAAAAACCGAGACAAATTTCAATGATAAAAGTCGTCGAAAATTGTATCCTACGAAAACTAGGACATACGAAAAGTAAAAAAAAAAAAAAAAAAAAAAAAAACACACACACACACAGAGAGAGAGAGAGAGAGAGAGATAGAGGGAGAGATAGAGAGAGAGATAGAGAGATAGATAGAGAGAGAGAGAGAGAGAGAGAGAGATAGAGAGATAGAGAGAGAGAGAGAGAGAGAGAGAGAGAGAGAGAGAGAGAGAGAGAGAGAGAGAGAGAGAGAGAGAGAGAGATAGAGATAGAGATAGAGAGATAGAGATAGAGAGATAGAGATAGAGAGATAGAGATAGAGAGATAGAGATAGAGATAGAGAGATAGAGATAGAGAGATAGAGAGATAGAGATAGAGATAGAGAGATAGAGAGATAGAGATAGAGAGATAGAGATAGATAGAGAGATAGATAGAGAGAGAGATAGAGAGAGAGATAGAGAGAGAGAGAGAGATAGAGAGATAGATAGATAGATAGATATATAATATATATATATATATATATATATTATATATATATATATATATATATATATATATATATATATATATATATATATATATATATATATATATAATATATATATATATATATATATATATATATATATATATATATATATATATATATATATATATATATTATATATATATATATATATATCAAGTTCCTGATCCAGCAAGGGACCCTCCTTGGCTAGCTGCAAGAACTGTGTCAAAACTGTCAGTGGTGACAATAAGGCAGGAGGAGGTGCATTTCCTACTTAAAATCGCTTGACCAAGAAAAGGCTGTGGGCCCAGATAAGTTGAGCCCAAGATTGTTGAGAAGATGTGCAGACCAGCTAGCAGCACCTCTAACTCGCATCTTTCAGCACTGCCTAGTACAGTGTAAATGGCCCTCTCTATGGAAAGAGGCAAATGTAGCCCCCTGTTCACAAAAAAAGAGCAGAGCAAAAAATCAGAAAATACAGACCTTTGTCACTCCCTGTCAATAAACTGGAAAGACCCTTTGAACAATAATCTCAAGCCCAAATGACAGAGTTTTTTAAACTACCACCCCACTACTTTTTTGACCCGCAATACAGCTTCGGGAAAGGTTACCCCTTCTGCTGATCTTTTGTTAAACCTCCCCAAACTAAGGGGCCCACCAGTCACGGGTTTAACCCAAAAGGCACTGTGGGTAGCACGGGGACATTGTTTGGCGTTTTCCCGACCGGTGTGCACAGGGCCTCTTAGCAAAATTTCCAAGCACGGGGAATTTGCAGTCTTACGCTATGTCTCCTCATGTTTTCCCTTCATGGTAATCTCTAAAGTGTATTTTCTAAATGGAAGGGAATCAGCAAAAACATCCTTTTGGGGCAAGTTTTCCCCAAAAGGGAAACGTGCGGGGTCCATTTTAGGGGAAATGTCTTTTTAAACGACCTTTTTCCCATCTCATCCCAAATCACATAAATATGCAACGCGTAAAACTGACATCATTTATCCAAGAGAAAAAATTTCCACCCGCAAAAAAGCAACATCAATCCCCCCACTGAAGCTATATCAGTTTGGGGGAAAATAGTGGCAAGAAACATTTGCACCTGAGAAAAACGCAAATGATAACGTCTAAAGGGGCACCATGATGGTAATGCGGTTGAAAGTAGAAGGATAAGGGGAGGATTTTTTCCCACCGGGAGAAAAAAGTTAAACCCTTTGGGGGTAAAATTTGTTTTTCCCCAAAAACTAACCATAAAAAACCCATTTTTAAAAATCTTGCAAACAAGGCAGCCAAGAAGCTTACAGCACTTCGCCGTATCCCCCCATCTGCTTGGGCAGTAGGGGTTCCCCCCGATCCTGTACAGGCACAAAATAAAGCCCCGCACCTTGAATTAAAAGCCCATTTCTTTTTTTCCTGCCCCCCCCCCTCAAACTGCGACTGCTTGACCGAGTAGAGAACAGAGCAAGCGCTCATCTCCGCCTGGACCCAACCTTGGGGTAGATCTGTCATTTTAGCAGAGCCTTCAACATAGGAGGGGTGTGGGTGGCCTTAAAGTTATGTCAAGGCCAATATTGCAAAATAACCACACTTTGGTTTCCCCTTTTGAGGGCAGCGTGAAACCCGCTTTTTTTGCCACAAGACCCGGGGAGAAAAAAGCAACTTTACCCCTGGCTGTACCCTTTTTCCAGGGAAAATCACTCCATCTGAGATCAACATACCCAAATACTCGAGTAGGAACACATTCGTACAGCAAAAAGATGTCCCAAAAGATAAAGCAGGATCAAAAGAAAAAACTGGCCCACAATGGGTCCAACTTTACCGTTTCCCCACTTGGGATGTCTCAAAACAATAAAAATGCTTTCAAATTTAGCTGATGAAAGGGAAACAGCTCTTTGCTTGCCAAAAAATTTTTGGGGTTTCCCAAAACCCGAAAAAAGCTGTCCAAAAAAAGCTAGGGGTCCTTAACATTGGGCCCAAAACCCCGGTAAAAAAAAAAAAAAAAAAAAGGGGAGAAAGAGAGGGGGCCATGGTTAACAGACATCCCCCCCAAACCAAATTTTAAGGTTTATGATTAAACGAAAGAGAAAAACAGAGGGGGTGATTATGATTCTGTAAGAGCTTGGTTAGAAGGAGCGAGAGGAGGTAAGAATGTTGTAACATCATCAGTAATAGTGTGAGGGCAGAGTTGATTAATGACACACATTTGACATGCGTGGATAAACCAGCAGTGCCTTGATACTCTATTCTCTATGATGAATAAGTCATAGGAACAACATTAATGTTACACTGTTATGTAGACAGTTACAATGAGTGAGTGTGAGTGTACACACGCTCACACTCACACTCACTCACCACCACCCCCCACCCACCCACCACCCACCCACCCACCCCACACACACACACACACACACACACACACACACACACACACACACACACACATGCACAGTGGACCCTTGAGTTTTGTGATTAAGCCGTTCCAGAGAGTCTGCCAAAAGTCGAAGTTCATGAATGTCGAAACCGTTCTCCCCATAAGAAACAATGTACTGTACATAAATCCAATTAATCAGTTCCAGACGCCCAAAAGTATTAACAAAAATGATTTTTTTATAGATTAAATATGGATTTACATACAGAAAAGAATGAGAAATCAAGTATCAACCAATAACATCACACTCTTATTGGTGTATGGAAGATGAGAGGAGGGGAGAGGATGGAGAAGTTACACTATTGTTTGGAAGGGGAATTCCTTTCCATAAAGACTTTAGATACCAAGTCCTTATCTGGGGTTACATCCCTTCTTTGTTTTTCAATGCCACTAGGACCAGCTTGAGAGTCACTGGACCCCTGCCACTCAAAAAACTGTTCCAGAAAGCTGTTTCTGGTGTCTCTTTAAAATTTGCCTAAAATGAGACAAGGCATTGTCATTGTACATGTTACTGACATGGCTTGCAACAGCTTTGTTAGGGTGATGTTTCTCCACAAATATTTGCACCCTACTCCACACTGCACACATCTCCTTAATCTCTGAAGAAGGCACCTTCTTCCATCTCTCTTTCTCCTCCTCTGAAGCAATTTCCTCAGCTGTGGTCTGTTGCTGTTGCAGATGAAACCCTTGCAGCTCTTCAGTGGTTAGCTCTCACTATGGTCCTCCACCAACTCTTCCACATCCTTGCCACTCACATCCAACCTCATGGAATATTGAAGTGATCCTTCCAGAACTCTCTTAAGGTCAATTCAGTGTCTGAGGTCACATCAAAGCACCTTTGAAACACTGCTTTGGTGTACAGTTTTCTGAAGTTTGAAATGATTTGCTGGTCTATGGGCTGGATGAGAGGAGTTGTATTAGGAGGCAAGAACTTCACTGTGATGAAACTAAACTCCTCCACCATTTGGTCATCCCAGCCTGGAGGATGAGCAGGAGCATTGTCATTACCAAGAGGCACTTAAGAGTGGCAATTTTTTTTCCAGGAGGTATTCTTTCACACTCGGGCCAAACACTTCACCGAACCAATCAAGGAAAATTTCCCTCGTGACCCATGCCTTACTCTTAGCCTTTCTTGAACACTCTGGGATTTTCAGAGTGATACACCAGTAAAGGCTTCACTTTGAAATCCCCACTAGCATTACACAGAACAAGAGAGTTAACCTGTCTTTCATGGGCTTGTGTTCTGGCAGTGCCATTTTCTCCTACATGATGTGGGTCCTCTTTGGCATTTTCTTCCGGGGGAGGAATCCTTCATCCTCTATGTACACCTTGAATTCACGCACGAATTTTTCAGCCGCACATTTGTCAGAACTTGCAGCCTCACCATGCCTTGCCACACTGTGTATGCCACTACGCTTCTTAAATCTCAAAACCAGCCTTTGCTGGCCTTAAATTCACTAACATTAGCATTCGTTCCAGGCATTTTCTTTATGAGATCGGCATGCAACTGCCATGCCTTTTCACAAATTATCAACTGCATAACGCTCTCCTGCTAACTGTTTTTGGTTGATCCACACCAACAACATATTCTCAACATCTTCGATTATTTGCGATCTCTTTTCTTGTCAGCATATCTACATCTTTCGCAACAACAGCTTCCTTGATTTCCTTTTTCTTTGCCACGATGGAAGTGAATGCGGCTTCCCGTACATCTTACCGAGGTCGGCCATACGCAGTCCACTTTCATATTTTGCTATGATTTCTTTCTTTAATTCTATCGTGTTTCTCACCTTTACCAAAGGCCTGGCACTAGGATCTTTCTTTGGGCCCATGGTGGCTTATTTAGCAGTTGGAAGCACAAAAAAGAATGGAATATTACAAAATGTATCTTATGAACGCGTGAGGTGATGGTCACTCGCCCAGAAACAATGGCACACTGACTCTGAATGGTGTGTGGGGCGCCTTTCTGTGCGCACGGATGCTGGGAGGCCACTCGAACACGTTCCATACGACCGACGAATGACCAGGCAAATCACGAAACGTGAGGCTCACGAAACTTGGGGGTCCACAGTATACATATATATATATATACACACACACACACATACACACAGGGAGAGAGAGGACCTAGTAGTGGTCAGTGAAGAGGCAGGGCCAGGAGCTGAGTCTCAACCCCTGCAACCACAAATAGGTGAGTACACACACACAAACACAAACATATACACACACACACACACACACGAGGCGTGCATGAGTATGTTACAATTTATTCTGCATTCATCACAACCTCTAGACCAGCCAAACTAATACAGTAGTCAGGTTAGAGTATTTTGCATTAGGAGCCCCAGCCAACTGGGAGAGAGCTTGCCCCCACCCAAACTGATGTTATATTTCTACACCAGGTTATGGCAGATGCTCACTGCACTGCTCTAGTACACTTACAATACTGGTCTATTTTGAGATGTAAAACTAACTGCAATGACTATCTTAACTCTCTCATCATTATCTTCAGCTGATTTATTGCCCTTTTGTACATGTTGAAAATACAGTGAAGGAATATACAGGTACTAAAACCTACACCTTTTGTGTTTACCTTTGCCTTCATATACTTGAGGATTTTTCCTTCTCTGGGGACTTGATTACCAGCCAGATACAAGGCCTTTCTTTATGTACCTGTGTTTGTAATAACCCATGCATGCACCCACATATATGTGCACTTAAACATATCAATTCCCCATATGTTGGAGCATCTATACCATACATTCTTTATATCAAAACTCAGAAACATTTATTAGAAATAAGTGGTCCTAGATCTGGGATACTCTTCACTCTAGAAGGAAAATGGCAGCACCTACCAGTGAAATTTCACCTCCAAGCCTCTTGAGATATCAGAGTGGGAATGTTCAAATAGTTTTTTGGCAGACAAAGTGAACCCGCCTCGGTGGGATACGGCCGGTGTGTTGAAAGAAAGAAAAGTGAAAGTGAGAATTGCATGGTCTAGATGTTGGGCAGTTCAGTTTGGATTTATGGCTCAAAGATTTATTTAAAATCAAAACAATCACTGATCCACTAATAATTTCACCATTATTCCTTCCTACACAGTATTTTTTGTCAATACCCACTATGTCCCACATATGACTGCATACCTGGAGATACCCGGAGAGGGTTTTGAGGGTCTGTGACCAGGCTTCATTGTTCCTAAATGCTGTAATTTGCCCCAATGAGATTTCATATAACATCCAAATAATAAAGTAATACTATACTGTACATCACTGATGGTCTTAAGTTTTAATAAGTGTGAACAATTTCTCCAGAGACTTGATTCTTTTTACAAATCACCATTAATATGTTGCACAAAATTTTATCATACCCCTTTTACTCTCCACATTGTGATAGAGTATAGCTCACTCAAGTGCCTAATGTTACCTGGGGATACATAATCAAACACACAATCGCTGCATTCATAGCTAATTTCCTAGGTATAAATGTCTTTCAGGACTTACGTTACCCAGTAATCATTCCACACATCTGGAATGCTGTTGAAACGAATATAATATAAAGTGAACAGTAATGACATGCCAACATAGTGACTTGAAAAATGTCACTCATTACCTATATGTACTACCATTATATATGCAAATTTATTTATTTTTATATTACTTTCCTGCAAACAAATTTAAAAAAAAAATATATATACAGTATATTCATATTCTTGGAATGTATTTTCTAGTCTCTCTCCTAATATTGTAAATATTCATATAAAAAATATATGAAACACATAATAACCTAAAAAAAGGGACTGTCAAAAGTAAATTATTCCCCAAGAATGTCAATTAAATATTCCAAGGGAATTCGCAAAATAAATCCACTCCTCAATAACGATGTTCTACACAAAATATTATAACCATTAAGAGAAACAAGCAAGCACCCTATATCCTCTATACCCAATGAAGCACAACATTTATATGAAAATATTCTTTACATTATACTAAAATGAATTATTTAACATTAAGGTTAATGTACATCTAAGCTAATTAAATGCAGCATTCAGAATCAACAGCTTGAGTATTGCTGCTATGTTAGTTCATGTCATGGGAAGTTGCATTATTCCTTCACATAAATACTGTATCAACATAAAATATTTAAATCCCTATTAGACTTCTCGTCATATTAAATATAATTTCTTTTAATTATATTTTTTCTACACTACTTTTACATATTTTTTATAAATAATACATAAATTAACAAAAGCTTAATCCTAAGAATTGGTTATGCAGATCATTGATTATGCAGATCATTGATTATATAGATCATTAATGTGCAACCATATGTTTCCAATAAGCTATTTTTTATACTAATACATGTACTATAATGTAAAATATTTAGATTCAATATTATTATAACAAAAAGAAGCACTAAACCTTGACATTCAATAAAAATAATGATAAATGATAACTATAACTACTTTTCCACAAATTAAGTTTGAATATCCTTATATACTGAATATCAATACAGGTCTCCCTCAACATTCGCGAGGGTTAGGGGATCAAGAGCCTCGCGAATGTTGAAAAATCACGAATGTTTGGTGCCCCAATATATTATAGGGAAATATAATACAATACTGCTTCCTTAACTTGTTGAACCATGAACAATCATAAAATACATGAAAATGTCATAAAATATTGTACTAAATACATACATGTTATGGTTTAATAACATGCATGTTATTAAATACCACTGCCTCAACCAATGCCTCCACCAGTGCCTCAACCACTGCCTCCACCAGTGCCTCAACCACTGTGGCGCACTGCTCGTATTTTGGTACAATTTCTTTCTTCAATTCTATCGTGTTTCTCAATTTCTTTACCAAAGGGCTGGCACTAGCAAGTTTCTTTGGGCCCATGGTTAATTATGTGGCAGTCGCACTCAATCTACAAGCACCAAGCACAATGAATTATTGTTAAATGTTTGGAAGAGCATGAAGACTAAAGCTCACTCCAGCATAAACAAAGGCACACTGACTGACGATGCCTCAACCACTTCCTCCACCACTGATTCAACCCTCGTATTTTTGTACAATTTCCTTCTTCAATTCTATCGTATTATTATTATTAGTAGTACGATAGAATTAAGAAGGAAATAGTACAAAAATACGAGGGTTGAAGCAGTGGTTGATGCATCATCAGCATGGCTTTGTTTATGCTGGAGTGAACATTAGTCTCCACACTCTTCCAAACATTTCACAATAATTCATTGTTTGGTGCTTGTAGATTGAGCACGACTGGAGTGGTAGAGGCATTGGTAGAGGCATTGGTAGAGGCAGTGGTTGAGGCAGTGGTTGAGGCAGTGGTAGAGGCAGTGGTAGAGGCAGCGGTTGAGGCAGCGGTTGAGGCAGTGGTTGAGGCAGTGGTTTTTAATAACATGTTAATAATAATAATAATAATACATGTTATTAATAATATTTATTATTATTAATAACATATATCTTATTAAATACCACTGCCTCAACCACTGCCTCAACCGCTACCTCTACCACTCCAGTTGCACTCAATCTACAAGCACCAGGCACAATGAATTGTGAAATGTTTGGAAGTGTGGAGACTAATGCTCACTCCAGCATAAACAAAGGCACACTGACTGATGATGCCTCAACCACTTCTTCCACCACTGCTTCAGCCCTCGTATTTTTGTACAATTTCCTTAAATTCTATCGTATTATTAATATTATTATTATTATTAGCAGTAGCAGAAATGTTTGATTCTTTGCTGTGTTCAAGAGTAAATATATGTCACCATCCAATACCTGTCCGAATAGCCATTCCAATATTCAGTCATGAATGGGTTTACATTATTTATACTGTAGTTTAATAGCAAATAATGAACAAACAAAACACTCACCACACTGAGTGGTGGGAGGGCTGGCTGCCAGTTGTTGGGGTCGGAGGGAGGGTAGTAGGGACTCGCAGGTGGCGGGAAACTTAAATATGATTTGGCGGCTGGGAATTCGCAAATGTGTGAAGCCCGCGAAAGTTGAAAACGTGAATGTTGAGGGAGACCTGTATACGTATTACTTAAAAACAAAAGAAATTTTTGAGAACATTATTTGTGGTAATTGAGAAAAATGCATTAGTAAGTAAGTAGGTAAGTTTATTCAGGTACAGGTCGGCCATCACTGATCCAGCATCATTGGGACCTGTAGTGTGCCGGATTACAGAGTGGTTAGGTTAGAATACGCTTAATTAACCAATCAATAGTGATTCTTTCTGCTACATCTACCTCATTTTCATCACTACTTTCTCCTCCACTGGCTTGCTGCTGTGGATTTACAACCATCTGCACAATTTCTGAGTCAGTATAATGATTTGAGTCAGTATAATGATGAAATTTGAAATTATGCTAGCCAAAATTAGTGCCGGATTACTGATGGAACCGGATAATTGATTGCTGGATTAGTGATGGCCAACCTGTATACACAAATACAGTTACATAGATTAACATACATAGCAGCATATGTGTAGAGAACCTAGGATAACCCAAAAAAGTCAGAGTGACTAATTTCCATTGGTGACCTATTAAAATTTTTAGCATTTTGTATTATCAATGTCAAGTTACATAAAGCAGAAAAAATAACCATCATCCATAAGATGCCTAAATAATATATTTGATTATTAGAAAATAAATAAATTCCTTCGCCTTGTGTCAGTTTTCATGATCTTCAGTAATTATCCACTGTTACTCTCTGTGCAGCATTCCAAATGTTATTATAGTCATGGAAAGCACTAAACTCAGCAATGCATGGCAGAGGTGAGAGGTTAAGGTAAAGGTAAGAACAGAGGTGCTGAGGAAAGAATAACAGAAAAGATGGGGTCACAGCTAATGTTGTATACCGATATTCATTAAGAAATCACAATCTGTAGCATAGGTTGGACTGCTACAGAAAAGGGCAAGCAAACCAAACACATTAGTGTGTCAAAGAAGGTGTTTAAAATGCAGTAAGTGTGCATTCTGAGGAATGGGGGGATAATCAATCAAAATATTTTGAACTGTCAGTACAATCTGACATATAGTATCCCAAACGTGTGGTACAAGATGTATAACTACAAAATTTACCTCTTGATACAGTATTAAATAAATGTACATAGAAAATAAAGCCTGTGCTAGATGAAGTCTTATGTATAAACATTTTTCCTCAGGATCCACACAAGTGTAATTGCAGACCATAAAATAAAATTTTATTTACAATGTTGTTTCTCGAACTGCTGTCTGAACCCTTCAATCAAACAGTTAGCCAGCCCTTGGCCATGTCTCAAGCACTTTAACACGTTGTTAATACAGCCTCTCCTCACTTAGTGATGCACTCGTTTACCGACGCCTCAATCTTACAACGGGCTTTCTGACCAGTTTGTATACCTAAATAATGTATATTAGACCTGATTTCCTCTATTCTGTTTATTACTGTCTACAGTACACTACTGTATAAACATTTAAAAATATACCAGAAACGTTATAAATGGTGCAAAGGTGACATTAAAACAATACCCACTACCATTATAGTATGCTTCTCACTTAGCGACGAATTTGTTTACCAACGTGGTCTTAGGAACGGAACTCCATCGTTAAGTGAGGAGAGGCTGTACTAGCAAATGTTTAATGAACTTTCTCACTTTCTACGACATTCCTACTTCACTGCACATTAACTATGGTATCCAGGATTGCCTCTGATACCAGGGATCAGAAGACAAGAATGTGACAAAGAAAATGACTGGCAACTGTTTACAAGTTTCTAGATATATGAACACATAACTGGAACATTCATAATTTATAATGAATGTATAGACAAACACACTATCAAAGCTCCACATATACTAACCCTTCCACTGTCTAGACTCCCAAAATGAGACTTGCTCTCAATGTAAAAAAAAATTGAACTCTGAGACTTTTTTCTTTTCCTAAAAGTAATGACACCAAAAATACAAAATTTGATGGAAAACTTAAAGAATCACATGGTTGCAAAGCTAGCAGTTTCAGTGCAATTTATGCACAGGCGATTTTGCCAACTTTGAGTCCAATTTTAAGCCAAATATACAAGCAACAAAATGTTCTTAAAACAAAAAGACAAAGACAGCATGTGTATGTTAAAGTCAGCACTTTCAGACTGCAGGATGAGAAAAATAAGAGAGGGTTTAAATAAAGACCATGCAATTGGATAAATGGATAAATCTACTAGGATGTCTTGAAGACTGCAGTGACCACAACAGAGATAAGTGCCAATCTATGAAATAACCGTAGTTAAGGTTGGTATCACCAATGCTTAGCCACTAGATAAGAGCCTTCCATAAATGCAAGCTGAGAGTCTATCTTAGCTCTTGGACTCACCTTTCAATTATTCATGAATAACCACATACTATTTCTGCCCTCATAAGCAATATCATACTCTTGCTTAAAACTGTATGGAATCTACATCCACCAATTTGTCATCCAGATCATTCACTCTCATCCTGTGATTCATACAACATGGTTAACCCTTAAACTGTCCAAACGTAGATCTACGTTCGCTCGTGTAGTGCTCTGAACGTAGATCTACGTTCGATTTTGCAAGCTTTCTTATGTAAAAAAAAAAACGTAGATCTATGTTTTGTGCGCTACGCAAGTGAATGTAGATCTACGTTTGGACAGTTTAAGGGTTAAATATTACTGAAGGTCTAACGTGAATAATTATATTGCAATTCAATGTTGAGTAGGAATGTACTACTGTTCTTAAAACTCTTTCCACTTTCCTTCCACACAATCACTCTAACATATACACAAATCCCTTTCCTGCTAAACCAATGTGTCTATGTCAATGAATATGGTATTTAGTAGCTTTAGGAATGTAACCCTTGTAAATACAAATGACTCTGTATGTATACTGTTCCTATGCATATGTGTGTGTGTGGGGGGGGGGTAGAAGGTAATAGAGAACTGTATGTGAAAACCTTTTATAGTTTTTCTATCATTTTCTATAATTTTCATCCCTACAACTAAATTCAGAAGCACAAAAATCTATTACAAGTCTTGAAATTTGATAGCACAAAATGCATTTTTAAGACCTAATTTAATTTCCTCTGAGAGTGATACACATTTTTATAATAAAATAAAGATTTGATAAAAATGTCTAAAGATGAATGAGTATATATTATTTGTATGTATACACATGTTGTGACTGCCATGAATTATGTAGCATATCATGCACACATGCTATTCAATATGATAGCTGGTTACATTAATTTTATGCATATCTCACACTCATTATGCATATGCATGGCACATACCTTTTACACAACTTTTATAATTTAAAAGAAAAAATCACAAGTTACAAAAATTATTCCATATAAAAACTTTCCTCAAATATTTTAAACAACGACTTATAAAATTCCACACCAATCATTGCATAGAATTTTTGACAAATATGAAGTCGTTGGCTAACCAGTTGTAGTGTCTAACTTCTGAGTGAACATAATACCCAACCCTCTTCATATATTCTTGTATGGCATCCTTTCCTTCTGGATCATGAATAAATTCCACTGAGAGTGTCTGCAATAATATAAATACAACATTAATCTAAGACACTTAGTTTTATAAATAAAAGTCATATTTTAAAGAAATTAATTGTAAATGTTCTATATGGCTAATGATTCATTCGTTTAGCGATTTGTGAAATCCTAATAACGTGATTGCAACTAAACCACAGAACAGGCAGGTATCTGAGCCCAGAGCAGGTGAGTCATAAAACTCCAGGCCAGTGCGTAAGCTGTGGTTTCGTTCAGTGACAATGACCCGCACACAGGAGAAAGAAGCTTATGACAATCATTTGGTCCGATTTGGACCAATGACATGTCACACTAACACACGAAGATATAGGAGAGGGGGACAGGGCCAGGACAAAGAGAGGAAGAAAGAAGGAAGTGGAGAAGTAATGGTAGCAGTAATGCTGGTTGTGGTGGTAATAGTAGTGATGTTTGCCTTGAGGAAGATGGCCATAACAGAGAAATGCTAGTTCAGTAAATTCCATTTAATCAATTAAAATCCACTTTGAAAACTAAAACTAAAACTCAAGGCCATTTAAATGTTTGAGTTATCAGGTTTTAACTCAAATTTACCATGGCACCCATAAAACAACAGATGTTCAAAATGCTACCTGACTAGACCCCTTTCCTCCTAGGAAAACTCCAGCATGTAACATCCACCACCCCAATGGAAATAAGTCACTTTGTCTGACTTTTCTGGATAATCCTAGGTTCTCTACACATATGCTGCTATGTATGACAATCTATGTAACTGTATTTGTGTATACCTCAATAAACTTACTTACTTACTCACCTTAACCCTTTAACTGTCTAAACATAGATCTATGTTCTTACTGCTAGCACTCCAAATGTAGATCAACGTTTTATTTTTCCTCCCTTCAAATTTGACACTAGAGGTCTGATAGACCTAGGCAGTATAGAATGGGTCTTAACACTCAGTGTGCTCAGTATTAAAAAACAGTGGAACCACTTGTGAGAGCACCAGTTCCATTGAGCACCAGCTAGAGCAAACAGTGTTCAAACCCTAGAGATGCACTAATGCCATGTTGTATTTAACACTCACCTTTTAGTAGAAAAGTGATGATGACCCCGAGTTTAGTAGCTTTAAGATGGATGTAGTCACAAGTGGTTCAGGAAATATAAAAAAACCTAGATAATAATCCATGTGCAACATTTGTGCCACATCCTTTCGATTTTAATACCACTGGTAGTGTCATCATGCCAGAATGTCCAATCACTTATGACCTAAGTGCAATACATGTTTAGTTTCCTTCAGAAGGTGTCCCGACTTGTCAAATTAAACCAGGTTTTAGCTATACAGCAGAGCCCCACTTATATGTCAGGTTAGGTTCCAGGCTACCACCGTAAAGCAAAAATTGACATAAAGTGAAACGCCCTTTTTCTTCCACTTATAAATGCATATAAATGCTAGATAACAAGTTTGCACTAACATATACACCTACCATCCGACTTACGACCTGCTCGACATACGACCACTCGACTTACGATCATATTTTTATGCCAAATTTCTGGGAAATAAACAACTGTTGTGTTGTACACAGTGTTTATCCTAAACCTTAAGGTATAAAATACAGTACTAACAGCATAAAAAGTAAAGTAAAAAATGAAATACCAAAATAAAACAATACAATAAAATCATTACAAATGTGTGATGTTGATATTCCGTAGTAAGGTTTGACTTACGTCCATTTTGACTTACGACTGGTTGGTCGGAACCAAGCTTGGTCGTAAGTCAGATGGTACCTGTATTAAGTTAGCAATAGAACTAGGTATTAAAAAAACAATAAAAGTGTAAAATACACACACAGTACATGCATTACTTACCTTAAAATATTTGTAGCCTTAATGTAGGGTGAGAGGTGAGCAGTATTTATTTGTAGGAAGTCAGGTGTGGAGAGGTATGGCAGCCAGCCAGGCCACCCCACCCTATCCACTCATAATAAACTACAACATTTAATGCATCCCAGAGCAATAAGATGTATATACAGTTCACTCATTACTTAACTTAAAATATTTGTAGTCTTAATGCAGGGTAAAAGGTGAGTAAACGAGATAAAATGAATAAACGAGAGAGAGAGAGAGAGAGAGAGAGAGAGAGAGAATGAGTAAATGAGAGAGGCCAGAGAAGTGGAGTATATAAACAAACAGATGAACACGTCTGGTTTTCGTTCATAGTAAGTTCATTCAGGTATGCACAAATACAGTTACACAGATTATTATTGTTATTATTATAATAAAAAAGAAGTACTAAACCTACAAGGGTCATACAGTGCAACATAAATTATTATACATAGCAGCATATGTCCTAGGTAGTAGGTTAGTAGACAGCAACCGCCCAGTGAGGTACTACCGTCCTGCCAAGTGAGTGTAAAATGAAAGCCTGTAATTGTTTTACATGATGGTAGGATTGCTGGCATCCTTTTTTCTGTCTCATGAACATGCAAGATTTCAGGTACGTCTTGCTACTTCTACTTACACTTAGGTCGCACTACACATACATGTACAAGCATATATATACACACCCCTCTGGGTTTTCTTCTATTTTCTTTCTAGTTCTTATTCTTGTTTATTTCCTCTTATCTCCATGGGGAAGTGGAACAGAATTCTTCCTCCGTAAGCCATGCATGTTGTAAGAGGCGACTAAAATGCCGGGAGCAAGGGGCTAGTAACCCCTTCTCCTGTATAAATTACTAAATTTAAAAAGAGAAACTTTTGTTTTTCTTTTTGGGCCACCCTGCCTCGGTGGGATACGGCTGGTTTGTTGAAAGAAGCAGCAGCATATGTGTAGAGAACCTAGGATAATCCAAAAAAAGTTAAAGTGACTTATTTACACTGGGGGTATAAGTCACTTTGTCTGATTTTTTTGGGGTTATCCTGGGTTCTCTACACATATGCTGTTATGTATAATAATCTATGTAACTGTATTTCTGTATACCTGAGTAAACTTACTATGAACCAAAATCAGACGTGTTTGTCTATTTGTTTATATACTCCGTGTCTCCGGCCTCTCTCATTTACTCATTCTCTCTCTCTCTCTCTCTCTTGTTTATTCGTTTTATCTCGTTTACTCACCTCTCACCCTACATTAAGACTACAAATATTTTAAGGTAAGTAATGAGTGAACTGTATGTGTATTTTATCGCTCTGGGATGCTTTAAATGTCATAGTTTATTATGAGTGGATGGGGTGGGGTGGCCTGGCTGGCTACTATACCTCCCCACACCTAACTTCCTACATTCCTGACTTCCACATTTCTATTATACCATAATACAAACATTGATGAGGGAAAAAGAGTGAGTGGTGCACTTAGGAGTCTGTGGAGACAGAGAACTTTGTCCTTGGAGGCAAACAGGGGAATGTATGAGAGTATAGTTTTACCAACGCTCTTATATGGGTGTGAAGCATGGGTGATGAATGTTGCAGCGAGGAGAAGGCTGGAGGCAGTGGAGATGTCATGTCTGAGGGCAATGTGTGGTGTGAATATAATGCAGAGAATTCGTAGTTTGGAAGTTAGGAGGAGGTGCGGGATTACCAAAACTGTTGTCCAGAGGGCTGAGGAAGGGTTGTTGAGGTGGTTCGGACATGTAGAGAGAATGGAGCGAAACAGAATAACTTCAAGAGTGTATCAGTCTGTAGTGGAAGGAAGGCGGGGTAGGGGTCGGCCTAGGAAGGGTTGGAGGGAGGGGGTAAAGGAGGTTTTGTGTGCGAGGGGCTTGGACTTCCAGCAGGCATGCGTGAGCGTGTTTGATAGGAGTGAATGGAGACAAATGGTTTTTAATACTTGACGTGCTGTTGGAGTGTGAGCAAAGTAACATTTATGAAGGGATTCGGGGAAACCGGCAGGCCGGACTTGAGTCCTGGAGATGGGAAGTACAGTGCCTGCACTCTGAAGGAGGGGTGTTAATGTTGCAGTTTAAAAACTGTAGTGTAAAGCACCCTTCTGGCAAGACAGTGATGGAGTGAATGATGGTGAAAGTTTTTCTTTTTCGGGCCACCCTGCCTTGGTGGGAATCGGCCAGTGTGATAATAAAAAATAAAACAAACATTTTATATTATATACAAGTTGTCTCCATGTTGGTACAGTAGAATAAATAAAGAGCAACACTCCCATTCTCATGTAGCACCATTTTTAGATGAAATGACTCTCTGAGTGAAGGCATATGAAAGGAATAATTTTCTACAGTTACCCCCAGTAATATATTGCGTACACATTTTCTTAGGTGTTGAACAACAGTGATTATTATTGTGCATTATTATTATTATTATTATTATATTTATTATTATTATTATTATTATTATTATTATTATTATTATTATTATTAATATGGCATCAAGACCAATAACAAGTTTTGGTCATAATCTGAAATGATCATATTAATGGAATGCCGTAAAGTGAAACGCCGTAAAGCGGGGCCCTACTGTACTAATTATATACAGAATTTATACTCTTATTTTTTTCCAGCCATTTGGTTTATTTCCTTACTCTACAGTAATAGATTAGTGAGAACATACCTTAATATCCACTTTATCCCAAGGTAAGGTCTTCAGTACACTGAACTCGGCCCCTTCAACATCGAGGCTGAAGTAGTCAACTGTAGTGACATTTAGTGCTACCAAGTAAGAGAAAAGGGGAAAGCACTGAACTTCTAAAATTTCCCCAGATCCACTGGAAGGGTAGTGCTGTTGTCTACCAAGAATATGCCCTTGGTTCTCTTGCTGTTGAAATAATACCTGTAAGGAATAAGTAATGAATACATGTCTCAAGATATTAGATTTTCTTTTAAAATGCCAATAAAAATAGTCATTGAATGGTTACACTACTACTCTCCCAAATTTTTTTCTCAAATCAAAGGGGTACTAAAATGTTATTTTTCACAAAGAGTCAAGCACAATACAAGAGGAAGTTCTACAACATCTGAAAATTTAGAGAAAACTAGAGTAAACCCTTGTATAATTCAGCTGCAAGAAAAGTAACAATGAACATAGAAAGAGCAAGATGATAAGAATAACAAAATCAAAGAAATGAAAGATTGAATACCAGATTGGAGGAAGGAAGTATGGAGAAAGTGGATGTATTTAGATATCTGCTAATGGACATGTCAGTTGGGCCTATGAAAAATGAGGTGAATCACATAAATGACTGGAAAGGAGGGAAAAAGGAAAGGTAGGCAGTGGTGAGGCATCTATGGAAGCTAAAAAAGGAAAGTATACCTTTGATATACCCTTGATGAGTTTCAAGTCTTTCTACTCCTGGAGCCCAGCTGGTTGCTAGCCTGGTCAACCAGGCTGTTGCTGCTGGTGGCCCGCTCTTATATACGGGTGCGAGGAATGGGCTTTAACCCTTTTACTGTTTCTCATTTCTTAATCATAGCACCCTCAGTTATGCTGTGACTGGTAAATTTTGCTCTAGACATGAGAGAATGGGTGTGTGTGGTGGGTGAGCACAGTACGAAAAAAATCCAGCCCGATGCAGTGTATAACAGGAACAGCAAATCTCTGACCTTGTGTCTTAACATAGCAACTGTGAGGCATGTTTCAGGGTGATGTTCATGGTTTATTAGCGGTTTCTTGGTGTCAAGTGACAGAATGGATGGTTTCAGACTGAAAGTGGCTTGAAATAGGCTTCACACTAGTGGAAATATTTGCATTTTGGCAATTTTCCTGAGGAAGGGTAGGAGCCCCACTACCCCTTCCCTAGTCTATTTTATGGGTTTTTACTACGTCTGCTTCAATTATTTTTTTTTCAATGAAACTGGCCGTATCCCACCAAGGCAAGGTGACTTAAAAAGAAAAACGAATGCTTTTCTTTTAAAATTTAGTAATATATACAGAAGGGGTTATTAGCCCCTTCCTCCCAGCATATTAGTCGCCTCTTATAACACGCATGGCTTACGGAGGAAGAGTTCTGTTCCACTTCCCATGCTTCAATTATTAGGATGGCCTAAACCATGACCAATCATTTTTAGTTATATTTTATCAGTTGAGAAATAGGGTAAAACTTGGATTTTTTGTTTGCTGATTGACTCAAAATTGATGTTTCTTGGACATGCAATTAATCTAAACTTCTTTATTTTGTTTCTGGCATTATGAGTCTACCTCCACTTGAAGGTACAGCTGCTCAAATCTCAGGGAAGACATACTTAACACTTCAACAGCACTAGCACTGAGAATTCACTGAAATATCTTCACAAGACACAGGTCAACTCCTGTCTGGAACACAGTTAACTCACTACTGAGAGCATATACACATAAAACACAACTGAACTCCCTACTGCCTAGCATGGGTCAGTAGGCCTGCTACAGCCCTGAATGATTTGAAAGTCTGAAACAGAGCAGTCAACTTCATAACAAAGTTTTCTTGAAGGGTAAAATATACCAGATACTTTACAGAATATGTGACCACTCCAGTACAACTAAGGACAACTAACAATTCTACATCACCTCAGCCATGAAGACCCATATCAACCTTTTCCACACACTTTCATTTCAAGAAGGAAGCACTACTATGATGCAAGGTGCCATATACACTCAAGTATAGCCCAACTTCATGTACAAGTTAACCACTAAATTTTCTGCCAAAAAATCCATAATACGTATATCATAAATCTCATGTGTAAGTAAACCCTATTTTTTGAGAAACATTAGAACAACATTTGAAAATTAATATACTGTACTGGGTATTGGTATTATGTAGTTCTGTGCAAAAAAAAAAAAAAAGTTTCCAAATCTAATGTTTTCTCTTATCATGTTTAGCCTAATACATAGGAAAAGACTAAAATAATCTCTAACTAAGCAGACATTGTGCTGGAGTCATTACAATATGGTCAGGTGAGCAGCATGGTTTGTTCCACTCAAACAGAAAGGTAATCTTTCAACCCATCATAATAAAGAAGCACCACTGCAGGACTACTGGCTAGAACTAGGTAGCTTCTACTCATCCCAGTCATTGCCACTTACTGACAACTTGAGTGCTAAACCAGTGCTTTCTTACATAACAACAAAGAAGCACTGTCATAAGCCCTCTGGCCCACACTAGCAGGTTCCACTCCTACCTAGCTATTCCTACTAATATGTAACTAAATTATCAAAAAATTGCCTTCCTAAATAAGAACTCTAGTGCCAAACCATTGCTTTCCTATATAAAAAAAAAAATAGATGTGCAATGCAGTAGGCTTACTAGCCTACTACACTGCAGGTCCTACCGTCATCCAACTATTCCCACTCAAATATTTATATAGCAGTAAAGTCATCAAATTACATTTCAAGGGATGGAAATGCTGAAGCTAACTTCACTTTCCATCATATGTTCCTGAGATTGTGATCACAAGCACAGTAATAAATGGTTATCTCAGTATTTTTTTTTTAACACATCAGCCATTGTCCACCAAGGCAGGGGGACCTGAAAGAAAACCACAAAAAGAAAGAAAAATCTTTCATTGTCATTCAACACTTTCACCATCACTTAAACATAATCACTGTCTTGGCAGAGGCACCCAGATACAACAGTTTAGATAATCACTCCAAACTGCCAGTATCCCAAACTCCTCCTTTAAAGTGTAGGCATTGTACTCCCCATTTCCAGGACTCAAGTCCAGCTAATTGGTTTCCCTGAATCCCTCCACAAAATATTACCCTGCTCATACTCCAACAGCTCGTCAGATCCCAAAAACCATTCATCTCCATTCAAACCATACCACAGACGGGGATAGAACCCGCGATCAGAGAGTCTCAAAACTCCACACAGTCGTGTTAGCCACTGGACCAGCTAGCCACAATAAGATTCATCCAACTAGGTATACCTAGTTGGATGAATCTTATTGTGGCTAGATGCAACAGACTGGAGTTTTGAGACTCTCTGATCACGGGTTCTATCCCTATCTGTGATATGGTTTGTTTGCAATCGTGTCATTACGATTTCATGAGTCTCCATTCACTCCTATCTAACACGCTCACGCAAGCTTGCTGGAAGTCCAAGCCCCTCGCCCACAAAACCTCCTTTACCCCCTCCCTCCAACCTTTTCGAGGACAACCACTACCCCGCCTTCCTTCCCTACAGATGTATATGCTCTCCAAGTCATTCTATTTTGTTCCATTCTCTCTAAATGACCAAACGACCTCAACAGCCCCTCTTCAGCCCTCTTTTAGCAACTCCACACCTCCTCCTAACTTCCACATTATGAATTCTCTGCCCTTAGACAGGACATCTCCACTGCCTCCAGCCACCTCCTTGCTGCAGCATTTACAACCCATGCTTCACACCCATATAAGAGTGTTAGTACCACTATACTCTCATACATCCCCTTCTTTGCCTTCATATACAATGTTTTTTTCTCTACAGATACCTCAATGCACCACTCATCTTTTTTCCTTCATCAATTCTATACAAAGAACTAACCGTAGTGGGATGAGGGGTAGGAGCAAGGCAAGATGGTGACATGTAAGCCTTCCTGTGTTTTTCAACCATCTGATTAAAGTTCTTTGGGTCAGCTTCAATCAGAAGCCCATTCCAACCCCTCTTTCGCTCAAAAAATAGTGTGTTGGAACGCACTTCTCCATCAAGGGCACCACATTCAATGTAAAATCCATTCCGCTGAAAATATAAACAGTATAAAGACTACTGAAGTATTACCCATCATTGCTTATACAGTGCTATAAAAAACATATGAGATATTACTTGAAACAAAGAGAACATCATCTTCTTTCAACCACTGAAGCAGGGTGGCCCACAAAGAAAAACAAAAGTTTAACATATTTCTCTAATTACTTTCTATTTGTCTTAGCTTTGTTCATTAAATATCTACTGTTTACTAACTAAAAATATTAACCTCCATCAAACACACTTCAACATAAATATTAGTACTCCATTATTAAACAATATCACATGACCTCTGCAGTTTATATAAGACCATGTGATTATAGGTAATGATGCTGGTTCTTTGTCTTTGTTTCTTTCACTGTATCAGACCAATTTAAATTTTATCACAATTCAAAAAACAAAGAAAAACACTATTTATTATTTTTTCTCACCTTTCCCTTTAATATAAAGTCAATCCTCTGAGCCTGACCCATGGAAGGGTTTTCTTCATAGGGCTCAGACAAATTGTAAGGTAGATTTGATGGAGGGATCAAGAACTGTTCTCGTATCACTTGTATCACTTCTGGACTGTCAGCTGCTACATCGCCACTGTTAAATTCTATGGAAGAATGCAATTATTTATAAATATCAAAGTAATTGTCTTTCTACATTGTTAAAGTGTATTTGCATTTTTTTTTTTGGAAGGGGGGGGGGGGAACACCCATTATAAATTCAGAACCTTCCCCAAATATGTGAACCTCTTTACCAGAAAAATGTTGCTAATTTAGCTGCCACATAAAAATATTACTACAGTACTAGTTTCCAAATTGAAATAAAAGCAGGTGGGAAACATTTTTTGTGTATTTTAGCACCATAATACAGCCTCTCCTCACTTCACGATGTACTCATTTACCAACGACTTACAACAGGCTCTCTGACCAGTAAGCATACCTAAATAATGTATATAGAGCTGATTTCCTCTATTCTATTTATTACAATATGCAATACACTACTGTATAAACATTTAAAAATATACCAGAAATGTTATAAATGGGGCAAAGGTGATATTAAAACAACATCAAAGATGGCTGACACAAACCCATTACCATTATACAATGCTCCTCACTTAGCGATGAATTCGTTTACCAACGTGGTCTTAGGAACGGAACTCCCTCGTTAAGTAAGGATATGGGTGGGAAAATAAAAATAAGCTGGAAAAATAAATAAAACAAAAAATTCATAGCATATTGAAATGTGTAATAAGTACAAAATAATTTACTCATACTACCTTTATAATAGACTCATTCCTGTATACATTATCTAATGTACAGAGACCAAGCATGATGCATAGGTACGCATGAATACACATACACACTCGTGTGTACACACACGCTTGTGCATGCACATATGCTTATGCATGCAGACATGCACGTGCATGCGTGCACAAATACACACACACACAGTGTTGATAATTGCATATATAGTGAGTGGGTGGACTCAGCTGAGTAATGTTTATCTGTCAGACCTTTAACTCTGGGCTGCACATGGAAGCATCCACAGGGCTGAGATTTCACCTTTTGGCTCACAAGATGTTGCAGCACTCTCAACTGTTACTCAGGTTAGCTGGCTGAGTAGAGTGCAGGAGCAGTGCCATGGAAATGGCTTGGGGGGTAAGAGCCTGAGCCTCCCCAAAGCCCCGAATAAAAACAGTAATAATAATAATGCTGCTTCAAAACAAGTCTCCTAGTCCCCATCCTCTTCTAACTTGAGGAATCCCTAAATCCTCCCAATTCTGGCACTGCTCCTGACAGTGTGTCATGATTTACTGAGGACTAGAGCAATCCAGTTATTCAGCACTCAGTAAAAACTGCTAACCTAACTTATTGCCAACATTACAAATTTTCAGCTATCTTATGAATTTTTCACTATTAAAAATCAAGCTTTTGTAACTTTCTATCACATTACAGTATAGATACGACATGGTACTGTATCATAACCACAATGTACAGCAACAAATTCAAATACAAATTCGGCAGTCACTGCCCATCCCGTATCCTTAATTCGTTCAAGTACGTACAGTAATTAGATGTAAGACAAAAAATGGGTAGTTGTGTTCCTAGTCAGGCACTTGGGTCACTCAAGCCCCCCTAAAAACAAAGTCAAGGTAACCCAATGTCAGGAAAAAAGTGGAAGATAACTAGTAATTTTATTTTTGTACCCTCCCTTGGGGGTCTTCTACCACTATGGCAGGGTGGTCTAAAGTAAGAGTCCCCTTCACTCATTCAATTGGTGTTTTGCCAGATGTGTCCTGACATCACACTTCAGACTGCTCTTTGATTGCAACATCCCCACCCCTCCTCATAGTGCAAGCACTGCCCTTTTCACTCCCACAACTCAAGTCTAACTAACTAGTTTCCCTGAATCCCTTCATAAATAGTACTTTGTCCACACCACCTTTAGATTTTAGGATACTGTGCTGCTTATTATAAAATATGTTTCTTTCTTTCAACACACCAGCCGTATCCCACCGAGGCGGGGTGGGCCAAAAGGAAAAACAGAAGTTTCTCCTTTTACATTTAGTAATATATACAGGAGAAGGGGTTACTAGCCCCTTGCTCCTGGCATTTTAGTCGCCTCTTACAACACGCATGGCTTACGGAGGAAGAATTCTGTTCCACTTCCCCATGGAGGTAAGAGGAAATAAACAAGAACAAGAATTATTTTATTATTATCACACTGGCCAATTCCCACCAAGGCAGGGTGGCCCAAAAAAGAAAAACTTTCACCATCATTCACTCCATCACTGTCTTGCCAGAAGGGTGCTTTACACTACAGTTTTTAAACTGCAACATTAACACCCCTCCTTCAGAGTGCAGGCACTGTACTTCCCATCTCCAGGACTCAAGTCCGGCCTGCCGGTTTCCCTGAACCCCTTCATAAATGTTACTTTGCTCACACTTCAACAGCACGTCAAGTATTAAAAACCATTTGTCTCCATTCACTCCTATCAAACACGCTCACGCATGCCTGCTGGAAGTCCAAGCCCCTCGCACACAAAACCTCCTTTACCCCCTCCCTCCAACCTTTCCTAGGCCGACCCCTACCCCGCCCTTCCTTCCACTACAGACTGATACACTCTTGAAGTTATTCTGTTTCGCTCCATTCTCTCCACATGTCCGAACCACCTCAACAACCCTTCCTCAGCCCTCTGGACAACAGTTTTGGTAATCCCGCACCTCCTCCTAACTTCTAAACTACGAATTCTCTGCATTATATTCACACCACACATTGCTCTCAGACATGACATCTCCACTGCCTCCAGCCTTCTCCTCGCTGCAACATTCATCACCCATGCTTCACACCCATATAAGAGCGTTGATAAAACTATACTCTCATACATTCCCCTCTTTGCCTCCAAGGACAAAGTTCTTTGTCTCCACAGACTCCTAAGTGCACCACTCACCCTTTTCCCCTCATCAATTCTATGATTCACCTCATCTTTCATAGACCCATCCGCTGACACGTCCACTCCCAAATATCTGAATACATTCACCTCCTCCATACTCTCTCCCTCCAATCTGATATCCAATCTTTCATCACCTAATCTTTTTGTTATCCTCATAACCTTACTCTTTCCTGTATTCACTTTCAATTTTCTTCTTTTGCACACCCTACCAAATTCATCCTCCAATCTCTGCAACTTCTCTTCAGAATCTCCCAAGAGCACAGTGCCATCAGCAAAGAGCAACTGTGACAACTCCCACTTTATGTGTGATTCTTTATCTTTTAACTCCACGCCTCTTGTCAAGACCCTCGCATTTACTTCTCTTACAACCCCATCTATAAATATATTAAACAACCACGGTGACATCACACATCCTTGTCTAAGGCCTACTTTTACTGGGAAATAATTTCCCTCTTTCCTATATACTCTAACTTGAGCCTCAGTATCCTCGTAAAAACTCTTCACTGCTTTCAGTAACCTACCTCCTACACCATACACCTGCAACATCTGCCACATTGCCCCCCTATCCACCCTGTCATACGCCTTTTCCAAATCCATAAATGACACAAAGACCTCTTTAGCCTTATCTAAATACTGTTCACTTATATGTTTCACTGTAAACACCTGGTCCACACACCCCCTACCTTTCCTAAAGCCTCCTTGTTCATCTGCTATCCTATTCTCCGTCTTACTCTTAATTCTTTCAATAATAACTCTACCATACACTTTGCCAGGTATACTCAACAGACTTATCCCCCTATAATTTTTGCACTCTCTTTTATCCCCTTTGCCTTTATACAAAGGAACTATGCATGCTCCCTGCCAATCCCTAGGTACCTTGCCCTCTTCCATACATTTATTAAATAATTGCACCAACCACTCCAAAACTATATCCCCATCTGCTTTTAACATTTCTATCTTTATCCCATCAACCCAGAGGGGTGTGTATATACTATATGCTTGTACATGTATGTGTAGTGTGACCTAAGTGTAAGTAGAAGTAGCAAGACATACCTGAAACCTTGCATGTTCATGAGACAAAAAAAAAAAGACACCAGCAATCCTACCATCATGTAAAACAATTACAGGCTTCTGTTTTACACTCACTTGGCAGGAGGGTAGTACCTCTCTGGGCGGTTGCTGTCTACCAACCTACTACCTACAAAAATATCATGTATATAATATAATTTTAAACACCCTCCTACCTTGAGTATTAACTTTACTAATACGAGGGGAGTGTGGAACAGGACGGAGTAGACTGTTCAGACTGAATGACTCGGATGTGAAGACCACCATGATGAAAATTAGCAAGAATGCTGCACCCACATAAAAAATTCCTTTTATTCGCAACATTGTAGCACTGTATATCAACTTCCTGAAGCAGATATTTTAGATGGCCAAGCCTGAAAGGTAAAAAAGTATAAAACTAGATTTCAATTCAATTCAATTGAATACAAACTGCTCAATATTCAAAACATATAAGGTAACCTGTATACCAACATAAACAAGTTATATCAAAGGGGCACATTTTCTTACTCAGGTTAAGTTGTATACATACATCTTTACCTGAGTAGAATCTCCATGCAAATAAAAGGGTCTAAAATTTAGAATAACCTACCTGGAGATTCAAAAAAATGTCTATCTGCCAACAGCTTCAAAATTACTGCTTTAAAACACTGTCTGAACGTGATGCAAAATCTGTCTTGACTGACTCCATGAGATAAAATAAGTGTTATTCTGAAAAATAAACAAATACAGATTGTCGTATAAATTTGTAACATGGTTCTGATGGCCCATAGATGTTTGGGGAATACAATAATTATTTTTTTTACAAACATTTAACCTAGGCTAATAAAATAGTTAAACAGTGTGACACCTTCATGGGGATCCTCATTAAGTCTCTTATATTGAGGCACATATATATGAAATAATAAGAAAACGGGTTGTCCATTAACGCTGTGTGTCCATTAAATACAAATGATAAAAGATTTTTTTCATATAACTTTAATGCACAAATCTGATTTAATAGGCTTCATTCATCATTCATTAAATCTGAAATCAATGGACCCTAACAATAAAGGACAATTCTGGATTTAACAGACAAAGTCCACTGTTTCCAGATGTCGTTCAACCACGGATCTTCCTGCTAAATCCAAAATCCATTAAATCTAGGTTTCACTGTAACTGTAACACAATCATGCCAAATATTCCAATACCAACTTTCATACCAAACCACACCCTACCAAATGGTGTTCATATCAGGGCAAACACACTTAGATCATGTTTCCGAATATTTTTTCCCCAAGTCCTATTCTATGCGCTCATTTTCCTTGATTATCTCGGAAGTAAGATATTGACCCATTTCTTGATGTGGCACTGTTAATAATGAATGGATTGAAATGATTTTCACAGCAAATATAAAACAATGAATGTTTTGCACAGTACAAGATATTTTTTTGATATATACAAAATATTTTTTATTTTTGTGGGGGTAAAAGGCAGATATTCTGATAAATGTATATATTACAGATATATGACTCAAGAAATCGTAATGACACGATTGCAAATAAACCATACCCCCGGCCGGGATTGAACCCGCGGTCATAGAGTCTCAAAACTCCAGCCCGTCGCGTTAGCCACTAGACCAGCTAGCCACTAGCTGGTCTAGTGGCTAACGCGACGGGCTGGAGTTTTGAGACTCTATGACCGCGGGTTCAATCCCAGCCGGGGGTATGGTTTACAGATATATTACAGTATATATTACAGTATATATGAATCTTACAAAAAATCAGATTAGCCATGTTTTATCAATAGAAAGTGTTCAAACAACTTCTCCCAGTGCTATGTGCCTCCTTTCTGCCAAATGTCATTTTTAGTAAATATTTTTTTCTCATTTGTTTTTTGGGCAGTCTTCTAGAAACTTCATCAAAGTAAAGAGAATGTAAGCTTCTTAAAGTACACCAAAAATGAACAGATCCAGACAATAAATAACGACAGGATGTATGCAAGTATCAGCCGTCCAGCTGATGCATCACTTGCATTCCTGCACAACAAAAGAGTGAGTCTGTCCTTCATTGGCTTGTGTCCTGGCAATGAATTCTCCTCTCGAGTGATATAGGTTCTGTTTGGCATTTTTTTCCAAAATAAACCTGTCTCATAACAGTTGAACCTTGTTGGAAAATAAAACCCTCAGCCTCTATGCAGTCACTAAACTCACTGATGTATTTCTTGGCAGCAGGTCATGTTTGTTTGGTCGAGTGCCGAGCAAATGGTCGACTACTGAGCGATTGTTTTTTTTACCAAATAAAGCGTCTGAATACTGAATTGCTTGAGTTGGGAGTTGTTTGAGTACTGAGGTACTACTGTATAAGCTCTGCATTAGTAAAGTTGTGTGCAGTGCTCCAAAACTTTTTGTCTATGAATTTAACATTTTTTGCCCCCAAGGTTGGTGTTAACATTTCACCAAATAACAGAAATTATAAAGCAATTTTCACTTCTCATCAACAGACAACAACCAGAGCTACTTTTTATCATAATCTGCAGGTTGATATATACCTTGAATAGTTTTTTACAGGATTTTTACCCCAAAATTTTACAATTTTTTTTTTTTGCCCCAGATAACTTTTTTTTTTTTTTTATTATTATCACACTGGCCGATTCCCACCAAGGCAGGGTGGCCCAAAAAAGAAAAACTTTCACCATCATTCACTCCATCACTGTCTTGCCAGAAGGGTGCTTTACACTACAGTTTTTAAACTGCAACATTAACACCCCTCCTTCAGAGTGCAGGCACTGTACTTCCCATCTCCAGGACTCAAGTCCGGCCTGCCGGTTTCCCTGAACCCATTCATAAATGTTACTTTGCTCACACTCCAACAGCACGTCAAGTATTAAAAACCATTTGTCTCCATTCACTCCTATCAAACACGCTCACGCATGCCTGCTGGAAGTCCAAGCCCCTCGCACACAAAACCTCCTTTACCCCCTCCCTCCAACCTTTCCTAGGCCGACCCCTACCCCGCCTTCCTTCCACTACAGACTGATACACTCTTGAAGTTATTCTGTTCATTAAAATTGAGAATGTCAACAAGAAATGCAGACAAGATAAGCGTGTCAAGGAAATGAAGTTGGCATCTGAAGTGAGGATGGCATATGAGGTGAAGACAGCAAGCTCTCTGATGACCAGGACAATCAATCAAAGATGCTAAACTGCCAGTATGATTATCAAAGCCAATAGCATTACCCTACTTGAAATAAATCAAAGGCATATAATGAAATTGCAGAAAATTAAGAGAATTACAGATTGCATTTCTAGGGCATTACTGCAATGCAAATAGTCACAGTACAAAGGTGCACTTGTCTCACTATCATGATAAAAATAAATCAGAGAATTATTCCCCATTGCCTGTAACTGTCTACAGAAAGTTTGCTTTATTAAGGTTAAATCATGTAAAAAAGGTATTATAATCCTGTACATAAAAGTTAATTGTATTTAGAATTAAAAATTTACACCACTGCACATTATATACACAAAGGTGACATTTTATTATAACTTAACCTAAGATATCCCTCCAAGTCCTCAAAAGGATTTTAATCTGATTTATGAGTTGTATTAAGTTTTTATTTTATTACAGGGTGACCCAAAAGTCTGGACACATAAGAAATATTACTAATATTCTTTTTTTTCTTTCTCACTTACTGAAGTTACTGCATCGTGGTCATGTGAATCTTGCAAAGCGTGTTGAACTTTGCATCGCTAATGGTGGAGACACAAACGAGGCACTAAACTACAGACCAGTGTCTCTGGCGTGTATAGTATGCAAAGTCATGGAGAAGATTATCAGGAGAGTGGTGGAGCACCTGGAACGAAACAAGATTATAAACAACAACCAGCACGGATTCATGGAAGGCAAATCCTGTGTCACAAACCTTCTGGAGTTTTATGACAAGGTAACAGAAGTAAGACACGAGGGTGGGTTGACTGCTCTTTCCTGGACTGCAGGAAGGCCTTCGACACAGTTCCTCACAGGAGATTAGTGCAGAAGCTGGAGGATCAGGCATATATAACAGGAAGGGCACTGCAATGGATCAGAGAATACCTGACAGGGAGGCAACAACGAGTCATGGTACGTGATGAGGTATCACAGTGGGCGCCTGTGACAAGCAGTGTCCCACAGGGGTCACTCCTAGGACCAGTGCTATTTTTGATATATGTAATGACATGATGGAAGAGATAGACTCTGAAGTGTCCCTGTTGGCAGATGATGTGAAGCTAATGAGAAGGATTAAATCAGATGAGGACCAGGGAGGACTAGAAAGAGACCTGGACAGGCTGGACACGTGGTCCAGCAACTGGCTTCTCGAATTCAACCCTGCCAAATACAAAGTCATGAAGATTGGGGAAGGGCAAAGAAGACCTCAGAGTACATATGCTAGGTGGACAAAGGCTGCAAACCTCACTCAAGGAGAAAGATCTTGGGGTGACCATAACACCAAACACATCTCCGGAGGCACACATCAACCAGCTAACTGCTGCAGCATATGGGCGCCTGGCAAGCCTGAGAATAGTGTTCAGATACCTTAGTAAGGAATCGCTCAAGACACTGTACACCGTGTATGTCAGGCCCATACTGGAGTATGCAGCACCTATTTGGAATGCACACCTGGTCAAGCATGTCAAGAAATTAGAGAAAGTACAAAGGTTTGCAACAAGGCTAGTTCCAGAGCTCATGGGAATGTCCTACAAAGAAAGGTTGAGGGAAATTGGACCGACAACACTGGAGAACAGGAGGGTCAGGGGAGACATGATAACAACATACAAAATAATGCATGGAATAGACAAGGCAGACAGAGACAGGATGTTCCAGAGAGGGGACACAGAAACAAGGGGTCACAATTGGAAGCTGAAGACTCAGATGAGTCACAGGGATGTTAGGAAGTACTTCTTCAGTCACAGTCGTCAAAAAGTGGAATAGCCTAGCAAGTGATGTAGTGGAGGCAGAAACCATACACAGCTTTAAGATGAGGTATGACAAAGCTCTGGAAGCAGAGAGAGGACCTAGTAGCGATCAGTGAAGAGACGGGGCCAGGAGCTGAGTCTCGACCCCTGCAACCACAATTAGGTGAGTAAAACATGTTGAAGATATTATTCATTAAAATTACAGTGTAATTATTGCAAAAATGCAATATGTGTCCAGACTTCTGGGTCACCCTGTATAAATCTGTTATCGTATATCCAATGTAAGTGCAAATGTCTACAGTATTTACAGTTTTATGGGGAAACAAAAACTCATACAGCACCCCCAATCTGAGGAAGAGAAGGGTAACTTATTTTATCTTATCTTATCTAACTCTAATTTCTTGAGGAAAGAACTGTGGCCTGGCAGCAAAAGCTTGTGCTTCACACACTGAGGGTCTGGGTTCGATTCCCGGCAAGGGTGGAAACACTGGGCGTGTTTCCTTGCACCTGTTGTCTATGTTCACTCATCAGTAAAATGGGAACCTGGGTGTTAGTGGACTGGTGTGGGTCGCATCCTAGGACAAAATTGACCTAATTTGCCCTTAATGCTCTGCTTAACATGCAACTTTCTACATAGTCGCAGTACAGTATGCCATTGATGTCAGCTATGGTCTGTATACCTTGCACAAGACAATCCACCAATATATGAGATAGAATTCAAAATGTACAGTAAATAACTCCTTTGACAGATGAGTAAATTTTCATTTTATGGACTGCAATGGAAATCACAATGACTGTACTGGGTTATCTTAGGTTAAGCTACATAATGTATATACTTCTCATGTGTCATAACATGTGGCATTAAGAGCATTGTAAAAAAATTGTATACATGTTATTTATTTATTATTTTACAATGGTGTTGAGGGCATATAAACTATGTACATTTAATCAATGACAAATCAATAAAGTCCAATAATGTGATTTATTTAAATTGGGGTCTTTAATTTCCTAATTATTATTTTACTATTAATTTTTTTTTATTTAATTATTATTAATCATGGGGAGTGCTAAACCCACAAGGGTCACATAAGGGAACATAAGGCATTCAAGTATATTATTATAATCTAAAATAAGGGGTAAACCCGCTAGGGTCAAGATATTCAAGTACCTGGCTGTGAGAGGCTAGCGTGGTCGCATCCTGGGGGAGAGGATTAAAGAACCCTAGTGGAAATAAACCAGAGTCCGGTAACACTGCACCTTTATTAAGTTACCCTGGGTTATTAACCCTCAGGGTTAATGAACTCAACAAAATGATCTTCATTAAATAACTCTACAGAAACAAAGGAGTGATTTCTTGTATGAAAATAGTTTTCTCTCCCTTAGTAAATCTTCTCTTACTGTAACTACTTTTACGAAGTTAAGATAATTAACCTGTTTTTAACATTTAAAATATAAATAATAATTGTCACAAAGACCCCAATGGAAATAAGTGACTTTGTCTGACTTTTATGTGTATATGTAACTGTTTACCTGAATAAATTTTCTTACATCAAATGAATGAGATTATATTAATATATTCATGGGGGAGCACTAAACCCGTATGATTATACAGCACATGTGGAGGGGGGGGATGGAAGGTATTCAGGCTTAATTCAGGGAACTGGAGCACAGATCCAATTCCTTAGATCAAGAGCCCTTCATTAGCGTCAAGGTACCTCCCTTGAGGGACCAATGAATGGGAAAACAGGTTCCCATGCCCTGGATCAAGAACCCCCCTCACTAGCATCAAGGAACCTCTAATGTATGGTATTACCACAGGTTAAACCATCATCCATCAACGTAATAATCAACTGTAATAATCACTATGGTGAAACGTAAAATAAATTCTCCAGTATAAAACATATTGACTAGTGAGGTTGTGACCCTCAGCACCTCACAACCTTCACTCTGACACAACCTCTACCACCACCTCTCAACCCACATACATATATATTGCAAAATGCTGCACACTCATCCATTATTCACTCACTAATATCGAGTTTTTTGGGGTAAATGAGAGGCGCCTCAACCAGCGTCCTCACTACAATGTTTTTGTCTTCAACTTTCAGTTACCAAATGTGAAAAAAAAAATCGCAAGAATTTGAGCATTTTATGAGGATTTTTTCCCCTTACGGGAAGCAAATTATCCATGAATAAATAATGCATTATGATTTATGTATATATGTTGTAATTTCTTCACATTTTGACTTTGTTTGTCAAATTTTCCTCCATGTTACAACGCGATGGCTACTGTCTTGATAGAAAACCATTTAGGGTTAACATATGTAAAAAAAATGAATAAGTAAGTATGTAAGTTTATTCAGGTATACACAAATACAGTTACATAGATTATCATACATAGCAGCATATGTGCAGAGAACCTGGGATAACCCAAAAAAAGTCAGACAGAGTGACTTATTTCCATTGGGGTCCTTGAAATTAATTAAGTTTATTTAAGCACATTCAGAGCCGGATTTACCTATACGCTTGGCAGGCTGAAGCCTAGGCCTACAAAGCCTCCGCCCAATGTGTATAATTTTTACACATTATAATCATGGGAGAGCTCTAAACCCTTAGGGTTATAGAGTGCGTGTAAGGGGAGGGGATATGGAAGGTAGAAGTAAGCTTATTTAGGTATACACAAATACAGTTACATAGATTATCATACATAGCAACATATATGTAGACAACCTAGGATAACCCAAAAAAAGTTGGACAGTGACTTAATTCAGGGAACTGGGGCACAGATCCAGTTCCCTAGATCAAGAGCCCCTTACCATTATTATTATTACAATCAAGGGGGAAGCGCTAAACCCGGAGGATTATACAGCGCCTGGAGGGGGATGTGGAAGGCATTCAGGCTTAATTCGGGGAACTGGAGCACAGATCCCATTCCCTAAATCAAGAGCCCCTCACCAACATCAAGGAACCTTCCTTGAGGGGAGCCCCTCACCAGCATCAAGGAACCTTCCTTGGGGGGTAAAACACTGTCATAGGCCTTTCTTACACATGCTGTCACAATGCAATATAGTCTCTAAACAATCCTTCAGTAATGTTCCTTGCACTCTGTTTCAGAATAATACTGTCTTAAAACAATATCTCAACACTAGCATTGATTTCTGTATTGATTTTGTCCTGCCAGGAAAACAGTGAGATAGATAAGTTGAAAACACAGCTGTGCAAGTATACATTTACATAAATTATCATACATAGCAGCATGTGTAAATTACCTAGGATAACCCAAAGAAGTCAAAGTGACTTAATTTCAATGGGGTCCTTTTCACAAGGTCAGCAAAGCCATTCAGAAATCAGAACTGTTATTGAGTACTTGTACAAGTTTATACACTTCACTTCACAATTTTTTTTAAGCAAAATTAGAGATTTTGATGAGCTTGAGCAACAAGTAAAAACCACCTTGCCAAATGTTAACTACAAAACTGTCACAAGGAGAGAAAGAGTAAGGAAACGGCAAGGAAATGAGGGAGGGACAGCTGGTCCTGATGAACTCTCTTGAAGAGATAAGTTTGCAATAAAGTCCTTTATTCCTATACATACTAGATGCACTTGAAACCAGTTTAAGATCTACCGTGTACAGTGATGTTGCCCAAATGTTTTCCTTTCTTACTAATCTGAAGGGAATCACAGTAAATGGAGCAAATCAGACACTCTTTAGATATCTTAGTGTCTGTATTGTTATGTTCGCAAGAAAGCTGTAAATGTGTAAGGGTCACACAGCACCTGGAAAAGGTTTCCTTAAAAGCAGGATTGTCTGAAAGAACTTTGGTTTGTGCTAGCAGTATCAGAGGTAGCTTGGGCAGAGGAACAAGAGCCCACACTACTACATAATGGAGTGCTCAAGAATCTAGGCCATCAGATATGATGAACCAGGACATTTAGAACTCTTTAACCACCTCATACACTCTGAAAAAATGAAATTTTTTTTCATACCTCTATCTTGAAATTATGAGCACTGGAGACTGCTGATCTAGACTTCAGCAGTATAAGCTGAGACAGGTGGAGCTATAATTTTATCACTGCAGTATATTCAATAATCATTGAAAAGTGCTAAACCTGTAAGGGTCATACAACACCTGCAAACTGGGATGTATTTAAGTTTGATTCAAGGGATGGATAACTCTAATTCCTTGGATCAAGAGGCTTTCACCAGCATCAAGGTACCCCTCTTCAAGGAATATTCAAGGGGAGGTACCAGATCCTTTGGGTAAGGTGTTGCTTATCCATGGGGTGAAAACTTCAAACAAGGGTTTTTCTACAGAGCATCTTGTTAAAATGTTTCATTAGGAGAAAAAATCAAATAATGTTTACATTATAATAAAGTAATATTTACATTATTATTATAATCATAACTAAGCACTAAACCAATGAGGGTACTGTATAATATTTACAGATCACTACCAGAGGTTAAATTTTCACTCTGTCTTGAATGGTCTTGACCTGACTGACACTGCCTAACGACATACATTTTTTTTTTCAACGAACCAGCCGTCTCCCAGAGGCAGGGTGACCTAAAAAGTTTTTCTTTTTAGGTCACCCTAATTATTATTATTATTAAAATCAAGGGGGAAGCGCTAAACCCGGAGGATTATACAGCGCCTGGGGGGGATGTGAAAGGCAATCAGGCTTAATTTGGGGAACTGGATCACAGATCCAATTCCCTAAATCAAGAGCCCCTCACCAACATCAAGGATAGGTCACCCTAAAAGAAAAAGAAAAACTAACGTTTTTCTTTTTACATTTAGTAATTTATGCAGGAGAAGGGGTTACTAGCCCCTTGCTCCCAGCATTTTAGTCACCTCTTATGACACACATGGCTTACAGTGGAAGGATTCTTCTCCCATGGAGATGAAAGGAAATACAGTGGTACCCCAAGTTTCATACACCTCCCAACTCAAACAATTATGTAAGTGTATTATCGTAAGTGCTTTTGTAAGTGTATTTTTGGAGGTCTGAAACAGACTAATCTAAATTACATTATTCCTCATGGGAACAAATTCATTTGGTAACGGCACTCGAAGAGCCTTCTGGAATGAATTATAGCCGAAACTTGGGGTACCACTGTACATAGTTGTAGTGAGAAGGTTGGAGGGAGGGATAAAGGCAGTTTTGCATGTGATGGGCTTGGACATCCAGCAGGCATGTATGAACATGTTAGATAGGAGTGAGTGGAGGTAAGTGATTTATATGACTTGACATCCTATTGGAGTGTGAACAAGGTAACATTAATAGATGGATATAGGGAAACTGGTTAGCTGGACTTAAGATAAGATAAGATTTCGTTCGGATTTTTAACCCCGGAGGGTTAGCCACCCAGGATAACCCAAGAAAGTCAGTGCGTCATCGAGGACTGTCTAACTTATTTCCATTGGGGTCCTTAATCTTGTCCCCCAGGATGCGACCCACACCAGTCGACTAACACCCAGGTACCTATTTGCTGCTAGGTGAACAGGACAACAGGTGTAAGGAAACGTGTCGAAATGTTTCCACCCGCCGGGAATCGAACCCGGGCCCTCCGTGTGTGAAGCGGGAGCTTTAGCCACCAGGCCACCGAGGTGGCAAGTACAGTGCCTGCACTCTCAAGGTGGAGAGAGGATATCTGCAGTTTGGAGGAGCATCTGAACTGTAGTACTGGCACACCTCTGGCAAGACAGTTATAATGTAAGTGATGGTGAAAGTGTTTCTTCTTCAGGTTGCCCTGCCTCAGTGGGAGACGGCTGGTGTGTTTAAAAAACATATATAATGTTTTTGTCTGTATCTGCAAGTTGTTATACCAAACATGTATGTACAGGAGCACCTCGCTTATGCAGCAGGTTAGGTTCTGGGATACTGCTGTAAAGTGAATCGTAGCTCTTTTCATTTTCAAATGTGTATAAAAGCCTTATAACATGTTTACACTATCATATATTAAGTGAGCAATAGAGCTAGGCCTAAAAAATGCACATACATTACACACACATTACTTCAAATATTTTCATCCTTAGCTCATAGTTAGTGGTGAATATATTTACTGCAGGAAATCTGAATAAATGAAGAATGAGTATAACTGAAAACAGCTGTATTAGTGAAACACCATAAAGCAAGGCCCACCTGTATTGTATTTTCTACATTGTTGAATTTACAAACTAAGAGCAGTTATACTACATAAACAACTTACCTACCTACCTTCTGGCAGTTAGGGTAAGCAATGTATCATGCTATTCCAATGGAGACAGCTTTGAACATCAATACATATGATTATCATTATTCTTATATTTAAGGAGAAGCAATTAACCCATAGGGATTATGCAACACCTGTGGGAAGGAAGGCAATCAAGCTTGATCCAAGAAGTGAAAAATAGCTTCAATTCCTTGGGTGAAGACCTTTTTACCAGCATCAAAATCCCACTTCTGAAGAAACCCTAGTTAGCCAATACATGCAAGCATAGGTACAGACACTTAGTACATAACCAATCTTCATGGGTACCATGGCTCATTTGGGTCAGTGATGAGTGAGCAACATCACTGAAAGTTTAAAAATCTTGTCACTTTCTATAAACATGTGAAATACATAATCACATTTTTTCCAACTTTTGAAGCTTTAGATGTAACAGGAAGCACTGGAAGGTTCTGTGTGATAAGGCTTGAGCAGCCATCAGGCATGTGTGAGCTTCTTAGACTGGAGTGGACACAAGTGGTTTGTAGGCAAGGTAATCCTTGCTTACAAACCACAGATTTGGAGAACAGAATTTCTCAGTTTTGAATCCTAGGGGAAGTAATTACACTGAATGCACTTTGAAGATTAGGTGGGGATATAGCAGTGCTGTGAATCAAATTAATTGTGATTTTGTGAGCATCTGGAAAGAGGTATGGCTTGAGTGACAGCGAATTCATTTCCCTTTTTGAGTCACCCTACCTCCATGAAAAGTTTCTGGTGTACTGTATTAAAAATACTAAAAAAAATACATTAATAATACTGGTAATACCTTTTATTTTCAAGCAATACATTATTACACTGGTATAAATTTGGGACAATAATCTGTAAACTTAGAAAATTTATAAGTATTTACTCGTTTTGGCTAAGTGACAGCAACTCTGTACACTCTGAACGTTTTATTACTTAAAACTAGAGAGAAGAAGCGATTGTATTCTGCTATTTTGTAACGAATCTTGTCACAAAATCTTCCATACAGAGGCTCAATTAAGCCTGGAATATCTTGTCCTCCATATTCAGGCATCTGAAATAAAGTACAATTTGATATATCAGTAACACATAAATATCCTGCCTTCATAATGCAGTTCTCATAGACATTCACAGAAGCTCACTCATATACAGGTACCATACTGTACTGTAAAAAAAATAAATTATTTGCTTTTAATATCTTAATTATCTCATTTTGAATTTTAGGTATCTCTCTCTGCAGCACAAACTACCAGTACAATAATGGTCTGCTATTCATGGCAGGTGTGTTCCTGAGACTTGACACAAGCTTATCCATGAAAGTACCCATGTACCCAAAGAATGAGTATTTTCATACAAGTAATTATTTTTCCTGTGTAACCCTACCTCAGCGAGAAATGGCTAATATGGAAAAAAAAAGATTGGGTACAAACAATTTTTTCTTTTAGCGTTTTGGCCATTTCCCACAAAGGCAGGGTGACCCAAAAAGAAAGAAAAAAACTTTCATCATTCAACATTTTCACCACCACTCATACATAATCACTGTCTTGGCAGAGGCGCTCAGACACGATAGCTTAGATGTCCCTCCAAACTGCCAATATCCCAAACCCCTCCTTTAAAGTGCAGGCATTGTACTTCCCACTTCCAGGACTCGAGTTCGGCTAAATGGTTTTCCTGAATCCCTTCACAAAATATTTCTCTGCTCACACTCCAACAGCTCGTCAGGTCCCAAAAACCATTCGTCTTCTTTCACTTCTATCTAATACGCTCATGCACGCTTGTTGGAAGTCCAAGCCCTTCACCCACAAAACCTCCTTTCCCCACCCTCCCTCCAACCTTTTCTAGGAAGACCCCTACCCCGCCTCCTTTCCCCTACAGATTTATATGCTCTCCAAGTCATTTTACTTTGTTCCATTTTCTCTAAATGACCAAACCACCTCAACAACCCCTCTTGAGTCCTCTGACTAATACTATTAGTAACTCCACACCTCCTCCTAATTTCCACACTACAAATTCTCTGCATAATATTTACACCACACATTGCCCTTAGACATGACATCTTCACAGCCTCCAGCCTCCTCCTCACTGCAGTATTTACAATCCACGTTTCACACCCATATAAGAGTGTTGGTACCACTATACTTGCGTACATTCCCTCTTTGCTTCCATGGATAATGTTTTTTGTCTCCACAGATACCACAATGCACCACTCACCTTTTTTCCTTCATCAAATCAGTGTTATTATACCCAAAATGATGAGGAATCATATGCTAGCATCATCTGGCACACTTCCAATCCAGGTTCCAATACCTGGATTGGAACATTATTAACATTCTTTCAACAAACCAGCCATATCTTACCAAGGCAGAGTGGCCCAAAAAGAAAAAGAAAAGTTTCTCTTTTTAAATTTGGTAATTTATACAGAAGGGGTTACTAGCCCCTTGCTCCCGGCAATCTAGTTGCCTCTTACGACACACATGGCTTATAGAGGAAGGATTCTTTTCCACTTTTCCATGGAGATGGCCGACGTGTTAAAAAAAAATACAATTACAGTACAGCCTCTCCTCACTTAGCAACATCTCGTTTACTGATGCCTCGGACTTAATGTATATTAGAGCTGATTTCCTCTATTCTGTTTATTACAATATACAGTACACTACTTGTAAACATTTAAAAATACGTATACCAGAAATGTTATAAATGGTGCAAAAGTGACATTAAAACAATATGAAAGATGGTTGACACAAACCCACTACCATTATAGTATGTTCCTCACTAAGTGACGAATTTGTTTACCGACGCCATCTTAGGAACGGAACTCAGTTGTTAAGTGAGGAGAGGCTGTATCTCCATGGGGAAGTGGAACAGAATTCTTCCTCCATAAGCCATGTGTGTCATAAGAGGTGACTAAAATGCTGGGAGCAAGAGGCTAGTAACCCCTTCTTCTGTATATATTATTAAATGTAAAAAGAAAAACTTTTGTTTTGCTTTTTATGTCACCCTACCTCAATGGGATATAGTCGGTTTGATTAAAAAAAAAATTATAATTATGTAATAACCTGCTGTCAAGTTTAAAAACTGATAGTGGAGTGATTACAATACTCTACAAATATGGAAACAAAACTTACATGCCCATTATGAAGATCAATAATATCTGTTAGTCTGCAAAGAGGGTGCTGCTCATCAGGAGGAATAAAACAAATACTGTCCTCCAGGATAATGTGTGTTGCTCCAGCACTCTTTAAAGCAGCATATACGACTTCTGGAGTTTCCTTACCGTATATCTGGTAAATCTGGAAATAAAGGCTACATGACCACATTATGGAAGTGAATGGGCAGCTCCAATAGTTTTATATATGAAGAACACAGGAGCGGGAATCTAGTTGGAAGACGGGGCTAAAGGACATGTTTTGTAGCAGTTATCATTATTATTTTTTTATCAGCACATTGGCCATTTCCCACTAAGGTAGGGTGACCCAAAAAAGAAGAAACACTTTCATCATCACTCACTCCATCACTGTCTTGCCAGAGACATGCCTACACTACAGTTAAAAACCTGCAACACTGGGGGTTAATGGATTTTTTGGAGGACTTCATTACAACCCTTACCCTCCTTGGTGTCACCCACAGAAGTGCAATTAAAGAATGAGGTTAATCCTATCTCCTGACACATAATAGTATCTTCAACCTTAGGTTCTAATGAAAAAAAAAAACAAGACGTGAGAACAATTAGTTAGACTGTGTGTTAGTGGATAAAAAAAAGTTGAGGGGTAGGTTTGGTCAAGGATTGAATTTTAATAAAATTCAAGTGGTTTCTCCCAATATACAAATTAGTTGAAATATTGGACTGCTGTGGATATTTTGCTGAACTGTGTTGGTACTAGACTTCAGTAATGCTACTGAGAATATAAGCTGGTATTAAAGATCAAGTTTTAGTTTGCATATTTTAACCTCCTTATCTTATAATACTCTTCAGTATTTTCTGGTGTGGAAAATGGTTTGTAATGATGAGGATGAGGAGAGTTCAAAAAATCAGGTGTTGGAAATGCCATGGAGTCACCACAGTTCTGACAGAAATGAAATACTGTATATACTATGGCTGGCCTTACCTGGTGTGTGCGTTGTCTCAGCCATGAATCTTCATAGTGTGGGTGATTAGTTATGTGTCTACCCGTGCACAGCTTTACTCCTGCTAATAACTGCATGGAGCCTGCAAACACTGCTTCAGGAGGAGTAGAAGACTGAATCCACTCCATCAGCTCAACAGTGTCAGGGTCCCAGAACTCATACACTTCTTCTGGCCATAATTCTGATAATATCTTGCCCCAATACTGAAAGAATAACACAGAAATTTAAATTTACAGAAATATATAAGAAAACCCAATACAGTATAGCACACTAATATACATGCAAGAGTCTGTGGTAGCACTGAGTTATCAAAACGATTTTGTAATTACAATGCATATAAGGACCATGTTAATGCAACTGTAAAGCAGTGTTTATATATTCTCATTACCACCTGCCCTTTTGTAGTCTTGAAGTTAATAATGTGCAGAATATGCAAGTACATGTAATGGCTTTGGATAGGTTAGTAAGAAGAAATACTCAAATCTATAATACTGTGCATACAGAGTACATTAAACCTAAGGAATTTAAATAGTGGTCAGCAATGCTTAACTGACAGTTCCTACCAGTCATCCAGCACAACAAGATCCCAAATCTACACAAGTGTGATAAAGTTGCCATTTTCAAATTTGGCATAGTTTCCAGGACCAAGATATGCCAGAATGCCATCAGTGGCTACTGGAGAGTGTCACTGTTTAATGCTGCATCAAAATGGATGACATTCCATATGCTGCCACCATTTCTATTGTTATTTTTTTTTTCAACAAACTGGCCATATCCCACCAAGGCAGGGTGACCTAATAAGAAAAAACAAAAGGTTCTCTTTTTAAACTTAGTAATATATACAAGAGAAGAGGTTACTAGCCCCTTGCTCCCGGTATTTTAGTCGCCTCTTACGACACACACGGCTTATGAAGGAAGAATTCTGTTCCACTTCTCTATGGAGAGTCTAATGTTATTATCTAATTATAATTTTGTGAGGGGGATGGGGTACACTGCTGGTCTTCATGTATTATCATGATTAAGGGCAGCTCATAAGTACAGTGCCAATAAATTAACTATCAATCCACTGGTGTGCATCATTTTGCAGTTACAGGAGAAGATACACTCATGGTATCCCTTCTTTAATGTTTAGTTTGTCACATACAGTATTTTCAAAAGTTTTATGTGGCTGTAGCAAACAAAACTTTCTTGATCTCATTCCAGCAGTCTACCACTATTCATTCCAGCAGTCTACCATTATTTATTAACACACTGGCCATCTCATGAGGTAGGGTGACCCAGAAATAGAAACACACTCTTTAAAATGTATGAATACATCCACTTCCTCAATACTCCCTCCCTCAAATCTGATATTCAATGTTTCACTGTCTAGACGTAATTTTTTTTGTTACTCTCACCACCTTGCTTTATTGTATGTTCACTTTGAATTTCCTTCTTTTACATACCTTCTCAAATTACTCTAGCAACCTCTGCAACTGTGTCACCTGAAAAGAGCAACAGTGACAACTGCCACTCTGTATCAGTCTTTGTCTTTTAACCTAACATTTCTCCCAAACACCCTGGTATCCATGTCTTTTATCACCACATCTACAAATATGATACTTTTAACATAGCCTGTGTTCACTGAGACACTAATGTCAGAACTGTTGTGTTCATTTGCCTTTCTGTATTTATTTATTTGCAATTAAATACACTGTATACATTTTTATAGGTTTATGTAATGTACTCTAATTTAAAATACTGTACAATTAAAAATTCTGTACATAGGTAACGTTTAGAAATTGATGTTGGGCAATGCATAAAATAATTTTTTTTAACACTGGCCCTCTTCCACTGAGGCAGGATGACCCCCCCTCCCCAAAAAAAAACTTTCACTATCATTTACTCTATCATTGTTTTTGCAGAGGCATGCAGATACGACAGAATGACACCTAAATGGTTGTATCTGCTTGTCTCTGCAAAGACAGTGATAGTGTGAATGATGGTGAAGGCTTTTTTTTTTTTTTTTTTTTTTTTTGGGGGGGGGGGAGGGTCACCCTGCCTTGGTGTGAAATGGCTTGCATGTTAAAAAATGAACAGTGTAAAACAAGGATGATTTAAATAGACTAGATATGGTGGCAGTCAGGTAAATGCAGTTAAATAAAATAGGTTAGGCAATAATATCTACTATGAAGAGAACATAACTCACTATGAGAATTCGCCAAATATATAAAATCACAACTAAAATATATGTAAAAATTTTAAATTGAGTATTCAAAAAATAAAATAGAAGTCACATTAAGTTGCATTTTTTTGCTGCTGTATTAAATATTCAAATTCAAATTTTTATTTCTTTGGATGCAGTGGAAAGATAATGTAATCTACAGGTAATAAAACATTGTTAGACACAAAAGAAAGCCACTACACAGTATGCAATGCATTTTGGACAAACTAATTCTAATACTTAAAGACTACTCAAGACTTAGACCATTAACCCGTAAACGGTCCAAATGTATATATACGTTTTTTCAACATTTGAAAGTATGTAAAAAAAGTAATCTTTTTTTTTTTTTTACATTTGAAAATGTGTAAAAAACTTTGATCTCCTTTTTTTTTTTTTGTTATATTTGAAAATATGTAAAAAAAAACGTAGATCTACTTTTGGAGCACTACACATGTGAACGTAGATCTGCCTGGACCGTTTATGGGTTAAGTAGGATTTTTATGCAGTTAACTACAATTATATGCATGAAAATATAATGTCCTTTCAAGGCCTATGAATGGATAAAAAGAAAAATGTATGACATGGTCTGAAAAGTGGCAGGAAAGTTGAATGTAGACAAGTGTAAAGTCCTAGTCCTTGGGAATGAAAATAACCCTCATAGTTATAAACTAGGTGATGTAGAGGTTGATGACACAGAATGTAAAAAAGACTTGGGAGTCATGGTAAGCAGAAACCTAAAGCCAAGATAACAGTGCAAGCACCAACTCACCCTGTGGCAAATGAAACCAATGTAAAAGCAGCAGATAAGCATCTTACAGAAGCCAGGAAACCACCTCGGAAAATAAGATGACATCTTTCCATACATCACTGTTATTGTACTATAAATTCTTGTGTCTGCCACAAAAACCCCAGTCAGTACACATACTGTTGGCAACCATATTACTTTTAAACGAAGAATCATAACTGCCAAAACACTCCACATGACAGACAAACCTGTAAATAAAAGTATTATACCTTACAAAGGAAAAGTAAATTAGTCTGTCAGTTGAGATTATGGAAAAAAAAATGTATACAGGTAGTAAAATATACAGGATCAGGTACCTGTAAGCTTTTCTAGAAAATGGATTCAGTTTTCATTACCATCATTAATAATGAATCTATTTTAATACCTATCAACAAAGGCTGTCTCAGAAGGTTCATATAGGAGGGACTTAGGGCTGGCAATCTAGTTGGAAGAAAGGGCTAAGAGCCTTGTCTTGAAGCACCATTATTATTATTATTATTTTATTATTATTATTATTATTATTATTATTATTGTTGCTATTGTTATTATTATATTATTATTACTATTATTATTATTATTATTATTATTTTTTAACACATTGTCCATCTCCCACCAAGGCAAGGTAACCCAGAAAAGAAGAAACAAAAGTTTTTCTTCTTTTCACATTTAGTAATTTATACAGGAGAAGGGGTTACTAGCCCTTTGCTCCCAACATTTTAGTCACCTCTTATGACACGCATGGCTGATGGAGAATGATTCTTTTCCACTTCCCCATAGAGATTATTATTATTATTATTATTATTATTATTATTATTATTTCTTTCTTTCTACAAACTGGCCATATCCCACCTAAGTAGGGTGGCCCAAAAAGAAAAACAAAAGTTTCTCTTTTTAACTCTAGTAATGTACATGTATACAGGAGAAGGGGTTACTAGCCCATTTCTCCCGGCATTTTAGTCGCCTCTTATGACACGCATGGCTTACGGAAGAAGAATTCTGTTCCACTTCCCCATGGAGAATTATTATTATTATTATTATTATTATTATTATTATTATTATTATTATTATTATTATTATTATTACTTGGAGGTGCTTTGGGGCTGATAGAATTTTTGGGGTCTTCATTCCTGCCCTGGCATCACCCCTGCTTAGCAGTGGTATAGCTTGAGGGGTAGCTGGGGCAACAGTTGCTTCACTTGAGCACATCTGGTCCCTTTTTGCTCTAGTCATTTTTAACTGTTGAAGCATTTGGGTAATTCATGTTTCAAACAATGTTTTCCTTCCATTACAGGAAAATCACATTACTGGAAAATCACAGCTACCCAGCTATAGGCTATGAAAGATTTTCATTACAACAGTGGTAAATATCACAACACTTTTGAAAGTGGCTTAAAGTAACTTTTACCACTGTGTGAAAGTAAGGCAATTATATGTTTTCAGTGACAGAATTGTTAAATATTACTGGGCAGCAGTAAGAACAATAATGAATTCCCATTCCCGCCAGCATACTCCACCAATTTTCAAAAGTCTGAATCTGCTCACCATTAAGAACATCCATACTTATTCATGTGCCTACTACATACACAGAACAATACACACAAATATAAACCCTCCACTCAAACTTCTCACCAACTTACACAGTACACATGACCACAACACAAGACACAGATCTCTTTTTGATATACCTCGTGTCCATATCACACTATGTAAAAACTTTATGCACATAAAGGGGCCCTAAAATATGGAATTCATTACCAGAATATATTAAAGTAACCCAGTCTGAAAATCAGTTTAAGACTCTTCTCAAAAGCCACTTAATCACCATAGACTAAATGCTAAATATTCAATACACACATACTCACTACATCATAACTTCAACAATCATTTTGAACCTCTTATCCATTGTTGACAGGAATATAACTGAACCATTGTTTTTCACAATAAGCATTTTAGACTATATGAATATATCCTTTGTCTTATACAAATTTAATTCACTAATAATTAATAACCTACTTTTCAACTATGAAATATTTACTGTCCTACTGTACAACTATGATAAAATCCTTAGTACATGTATTAAGTAGTCTGTAAGCCAATAATGTTAAGTTGGCCCATAATGCCTAGGCGTAATAGAGGCTCTCTTTGCATTGCAACCCACTATTGTAAGTATAAAATCTCAATGTACTGTTTGCAAAGACATAAAATAAATAAAATAAATAAAAATAAATAAATAAAACAATAAAATTAAATTTAAAAAATGTATATAAACCATACTACAACAGTTACTACCATAAAATAAGCTGTGTCAAAATAATAAGTGATGCCTTCAGGTAATAAGTGTTACTTTAAGGTGATAAATGGCACTTTTGAAGATAGTAAGTGATACCATTTTTGTGTCGATCCCTCCTCCAACATGAGAACCTAACTACTCCACTGATGCATATATAATATAATGCATATACAATGTAAGTTAACCCCTTCTCCTGTATAAATCACTAAATTTATACACCCTGCTTCAGTGGGACATGGTCGGTGTGTTAAAAAAAAAAGTGTAAATTTTTCATCATGAAAGTGAACAAATATTACACTCATGTTAATCATCCAGGCAGTAGCACTTCAACCTTGTTAATCAAGGTAGATGCCCGATGGGTGTACATGCAGAAAGTCCTTAGCATGCATAGCATTTTGGGCAAACTTAAGCCTATCTTAAGACAAAAAGGGCAATAATTAATTTATTCATATGTATATGGCCTCCAGTGGTTTTAACAAAGAACATTTTTAGTGAGTTTAATTATTTTAAGGATTACAAGTTGGCTTATGATTACAGGTAATGAGGAGTCTTGCATATTACCACTAGATTTAGGAATTATAATAAAAAAAAAAAAACATTTACTTTTATTGAGCCTAAATGTTTCAAGGATTTCAGTTTGGCTTATGATTACAGGTAATGAGGTTTCTAACATAACATGTTTTGAGAACATTCAATATATTTAAGAGTTGTGAGGATTACAAATTATGAGAATAAGAATATACTGTTTCCATATACTTGTGGCAATGAAAATATACTTTTATCATATTTAGTTGTTAGGCTATGTTAGTGAAGGAAGACTTTTTTTGTAGCAGCAGCAGTTTAGAGGATGCTGCAGAGAGGGTGGCTCTAGAAATTTCTGGCAGGGAATTCCAGATTTTGGGTCCTTTTATATACAATGAATTTTTACAAAGCTTATGCCTGACATGGAAAATCATGTCCTGTAATTAGTCAAAACCTACCTTAGTTAATCATACAGGAAAACCTACCTTAGTTAATCATACAGGAAAACCTATCTTTGTTAATCATACAAGAAAACCTACCTTTGTTAATCATACAGGAAAACCTACCTTTGTTAATCATACAAACCTGCCTTTGTTAATCATACAGGGAAACCTACATTTGTTAATCATACAAACCTACCTTTGTTAATCATACAGGGAAACCCACCTTTGTTAATCATACAGGAAAACCCACCTTTGTTAATCATACAGGGAAACCTACCTTCGTTAATCATACAGGGAAACCTACCTTTGTTGATCATACAGGAGAAACCTACCTTTGTTAATTATACAAGGAAACCTACCTTTGTTAATCATACATGGAAACCCACATTTGTTAATCATACAGGGAAACCAACCTTTGTTAATCATGCAGGTACCTAATACTTACTCAGATTAGCCATGCATTTACTTAAGCATCCACATTAATAATGCAGCACCCAATACTAACCCTGGTAACCTTGAAGGTACCAATAATTCCATGTTAATTATGCAGTAATCCAATACCAACACATGTTAATCATGCAGACATCCTATACTAAGTCATGTAATCATGCAGGGATTAATGTAAGCACAGTATTTATCAGTTACCCAATACTCACCCATGTTAACCATGCAGATATCCAATACTCACCCAAGAAGAAAACCAACTCAGGTCTTTCTTCAATAATACACTGGCCTTGGCTGCATCTACATGAACAATATACATAATCACTTTGTGCTTTATTTTTCATAACTTTTTCTGAAAAATTCTTTTCAAGTTCCGTTTCACACATGTTTTCAAACAAGTTCTTCATCTCACATTTAGAGTTCTCGGTTTTGCGCTGCTTTTCACCGTTTTTAAAATGGGATGAATGGCTATCCTCCTCATCCGTGGATGATACCTTTTGTAAATCCCCTTTACATACTGGGGAATCCTCAGCATGACATTCTAAGCATTCCTCTGGTATTTTCATTATAAAAGATTTTGCACATGATACTAAATACACAAAAACAGCAATGCTATAAACTGGAAGAAGTCCACTATCACATAGTCTTTCTAATGTTTTAATGTCAATATAGTCAAACGCTTCAGTGCACATATAGAGTCGGGAATCAAAATTTCGTGGATCTCCCATTTGTAGTTTTGCAAAGAGGAGTTGATACACATGAGAATCTGCATCTATATTTAAAAATATCTGGAATAAATAAAAAAATAATTACAGATACAGAATATTAAATACAAAATTCACATTCAAATGTGTGCATGTCTGTGTATGTATATTTTGTTTTTGTTTCACATTTTTTTTTTTTATTTTAACAAGTCGGCCATCTCCCACCGAGGCAGGGTGACCCAAAAAGAAAGAAAATCCCCAAAAAGAAAATACTTTCATCATCATTCAACACTTTCACCTCACTCACACATAATCACTGTTTTTGCAGAGGTGCCCAGAATACAACAGTTTAGAAGTATATATGTATAAAAATACACAATATATCCCTCCAAACTGCCAATATCCCAAACCCATCCTTTAGAGTGCAGGCATTTTACCTCCCATTTCCAGGACTCAAGTCTGGTTATATAAAATAACCGGTTTCCCTGAATCCCTTCACTAAATATTACCCTGCTCACACTCCAACAGCTTGTCAGGTCCCAAATACCATTTGTCTTCATTCACTCTTATCTAGCACGCTCAGAAGCTAAAAAAAGACATAACAAGAGCAAGGTATGAGCAAAATGTTGAATAATAGAGACTTACACTTTATTATGTTTTTTATAGAGACTTACACTTTATTATATTTTTTAGACTTACACTTTATTATGTTTTTAGAGACTTACACTTTATTACATCTTTATCACTTATCAGCTCACTGTCTCTACCACCAATAATCAACATATATGTAGAGGTATTTACTGTGTTGAGGGCAAGGAACTAGTAACCCCTTCTCATGTATACATTACTAAATGTAAAAAGAACAAAAACTTTCTTCGTTTTTGGGTCACCCAGCCTCGGTGGGAGACGGTCAGTATGTTAAAAAAAATTACCGTGTTTAACTGAATAACTTGCACAACATTTGTTTAGTCAGCCTTAGTGCTGTTAGGCATCACCAGTCAAGTGGTAGAAAAACCTTTCTTGAGCTGTGAGTGAACTACCATATTTGCTGTAGTGAGGACAAAGTTGCTGTAATTCTGGTAAGTGTGCTAAATGATTATCTTAAGTGAACATGTTTAGGAAGCTTGTGACCTGAGGACTGTTTGGTTAACTAAGGCTGGCATTAAAACTGTTAGCAATTATTAAGTGATTTTTCTTAAACATGATTAGGTCTCTGAGGCAGCCATTGGTAATACATGCTCTGAGTATAATAAGGACATGTATATGATGAAGTGTTCTGCAAGAGCAGTTTGATGTGTATTCATGGAGAGACACTAAACTCAGGGTCATACAGTGCCTTGGGAATAGGAATGGTGGAATGTGGATGGGGTAGGGGTGGGGAAATGAAATTTGATCTGCAAGGGAGGGTAGCTCCATTTCCTTGGATCAAAAGCCCTTCACCTGCATCATGTCACCTGTCTTTGAAGAGTGTAGTGTACTACTCAAGTCTTTTATGTGGAGGCAAGTACAGAGCCTGAGCCTGCAGTGTGAAGGGGTGGAGATGTTGCAGCGTGGAGAATCATTTGTTTTGTGTCTGCACACTTCTGGCAAGACAGCTATTGAATGAATGATAGTCAATGTCTTTTTTTGGTGGTGGTAAGGAGGGGGTCATTCTTCCTTGATGGAAGATGATGAATGTGGAAGAAAAAAAAATATCCAGGGTGAACAGGATGTCCTTGCCAATGGGTTTATAACTTTTCTAGGGCTCGAAACTGATAAGCTGCTAGATACTAAGCATAACCCACAAAATTGTAATGACACAATTGCAAACAAACCATACTACAGGCGGGGATAGAACCCGCAGACAAAGAGTCATAACTCGTCAGTGTGGAGTTTTATGACTCTCTGACCGTGGGTTCTATCCCCACCCATGGTATGGTTTATAGTAAGCATAAATTTACATTTAGTCCAGCAGAGTGGAAAGAACATATTATCAATATATTAAATACCTTAATACTGCCATTGATGAGCACTGTTACAAACAACAGCAAAGATAACTCTGCTGTTGTAATAATCATTCTGATCACTGAGCCCATGGTTCTATCAGGGGTGTGTGTTGCACTCAGGATAAGGGCTGGTACCACCATGGAGAGTGCTGGAGAAGATATAACCAGTGGAGGGTTGGCTTGAATAGTACATGAAACCAGCAGTGATGCTCCCAGCACTAACACCAGCTTGTTGACCTATCACAAGACATTTTATCATTTATTATGTCCACATAGTATATGTGAAAACAAAATAAAATAAATGAATACACCTGTTATTTACTCTAAAGGTAATGTATGGTTAGAGCCGCTTAAATAAATTGTGACCACAAACTGTATTCAGTGCCTAGCTGCTACTACTAACACACTACCATGGACTGAGACCTGCAAAGAATCAGGAATGGTCAGATAAATTCATGTGTCAATTAATAGGACCTTACAGCATGTGGTGAAAAACAAAGTTTCACATACCTTTGCTGCTGACAGAAGAAGTAGCCTCCCAAGGGAAACCAAGCAAAACAGCTGACACAGTAAAATAAATGCAGCAAACTGCCAGCTCTGAAGGAACACCACACTCATTATGAAGATGACTGCCAGCTTAACAATCTGGAAAACCAATAAAATATAAATTAAAACAATCAAGCTATGAACATTACCTACATATAGCATGCTCTATTACATTTCTAGAAAATACTTCTTTTTCCTTCAGCACACTGGCAGTCTCTCACCAAGTTAGAGCAGCCTCGAAAAAGAGGAAAAACTTTCACCATCATTCGTTCAACCACTATCTTGCCAGAAGTGTGCTGACATCACAATTCAGATGACCCTCTGAACTGTATCATTCCAACCCCTCCATCAGAGGGGTGGGGATGTACAATGCAGGCACAGCATTTCTCACTTCCAGAACTTGAGTCTGGCTAAACGCTAAATACATATTACTGTACTTTAAATTCAAAATAGCGTACTGATATTCTAGGTAATATAACCCAAACAGCATTATGATTTTTGTGTAAATACTACTCACTTTTTAAATTAAGGCGATTCACTAACATCATACATAATTTTATTAATTTTGCAATTTTCATTTAGACCTCCAGTATCTATCAATTAAAAAATAAACAATGTAAAGCATGCTTGCTATATCACTTACAACTATATTACTCTTTTCAAAGTTTAAGATTTGTAAAAAAAATTATAATTTTAAAATTTAAGAGGAATAGACTGTTGTTGGGAGTTGACATGTGAGCGGATGGATTTATGAAGGATGAGGTTAATCATAGAATCGATGAAGAAAAAAAGGTATATGTGGAGACAAAAACGTTATCTACGGAGGCAAAGAAGGGAATGTACAAAAGTATAGTGGTACCAGCACTCTTATATGGGTGTGAAGCTTGGGTTGTAAATGCAGCAGCGAGGAGACGGCTGGAGGCAGTGGAGATGTCCTGTCTAAGGGCAATGTGTGGTGTAAATATTATGCAGAAAATTCAGAGTGTGGAAATTAGGAAAAGGTGTGGAGTTAATAAAAGTATTAGTCAGAGGGCTGAAGAGGGGTTGTTAAGATGGTCTGGTCATTTAGAGAGAATGGATCAAAGTAGAATGATATGGAGAGCGTATAAATCTGTAGGGGAAGGAAGGTGGGGTAGGGGTCATCCTCGAAAAGGTTGGAGGGAGGGGGTAAAGGAGGTTTTGTGGGTGAGGGGCTTGGACTTCCAGCAAGTGTGCGTGAGCATGTTAGATAGGAGTGAATGGAGACGAATGGTATTTGGGACCTGATGAGCTGTTGGAGTGTGAGCAGGGTAATATTTAGTGAAGCGATTCAGGGAAACCGGTTATTTTTATATAGCCAGACTTGAGTCCTGGAAATGGGAAGTACAATGCCTGCACTTTAAAGGAGGGGTTTGAGATATTGGTAGTTTGGAGGAATATGTTGTGTATCTTTATATGTATATGCTTCTAAACTGTTGTATTCTGAGCACCTCTGCAAAATCAGTGATTATGTGTGAGTGAGGTGAAAGTATTTTCTTTTTGGGGATTTTCTTTCTTTTTGGGTCACCCTGCCTTGGTGGGAGATGGCCAACTTGTTAAAAAAAAAAAACGACTATACAGCATTTATAAAAAAAAAATCCAGATAGCACTAGGAGCATTGTGTACGCTAATGGTAGCTTATGAGTGTGGCTTCATAAAACAATGCAGTATGTTTATGTTCTTCAGTGCTGTCAGATCTCCCTTGGATGGGAGGGAGGGACAGCTAGGTATCTAACAGACTCTTGAACTATTTCTTCACAGAGCAGTAGAACAATGGAATGGATTACAAAAGTCCAGTCATAAATGCTACAATAACAGAAATTTTAAAAGATTATATTATACTTTAAATGGATTGACAGGATTCAAACCCATGGACTAGCACTCAAAAAAGTACTAGTACAACACAGTAACAACCACACCACAGAGGGTCATAAGTGACAACCCATCCAGAAAACTCTTTTACCTGAAGAGACAATCACAATCTGCAACTCACTTGTGGGTTTTTGTGGAGACTACATGACCACACTAGCAGGTGTAAGTCTCTATAAAAAATATAATAAAGTGTACTATAACTCTAGTCCATTCTAAATTATTTGTCAACATGCTGAAAACTTATAATAAAACAAATGTAACCATTTGATAGGAGCTCTATAACAATAATCCATGATCTTGCATTCCTAAGATTTATTATGAACTTTCAGCACATTGACACATGAATTAGAAAGGATTCAGCACTGAAGACCCTATCAAAGCTTTCAGAGATGGTACAACTCCCACCAGACCCCAAAGCAAAGCCTGCACTAGTCAAGACTCAGCAGAAGCATGGGTGAAAGGCAGTGAGTGAACGAGACTGCCCTCTCAGAATTTCATTTCCACAGATGCTTATATGGGCCAGAACCAACTGCAGGGAGATGAATCACCCCAGCTTAGTAAGAAGGAAAGCAAGGAGTAAGGTACAGCTGACAAGGGACTGGTAAAAAGATAAATGCACTAGAAAAGATAAAGAGGACAACTGACTACAGAGAGAAGAGATAAAGAAATTCCTGAGAGACTGCAATAAATTCCATGTATATTTCCATCCAATGAATTTCATACCAGAGTGGGCCGAGAAAGATCTGGCCTCCAGTAAAAAAAATAAATGGTAAATCTGTAGCAGTAGTAGTCCTGGAAAGGAACATCAGTACAGATAAAGGAGAGGCCTTAGAATAATTGACTGTATTCCCTGAAAAGTAACACTGCTGTCAGAGGGTAAAAGGTGCTTCAGGAGACCACTGCAATGTTGCCAGGATGATGTAGCCCTCCAGGCAAAGAGAAAAAGAGGGAGAGATGACAGCAAGGTAACTGGACACTCCTGCAAATAAGCAGACAGTAAGAGAGGCAAAGGGCAGCAGGCACTATTGGGAAAGAAAGAATGGTGATGATACCCAGGTAGAAGTAATGATTTCTAGTAATTTAGTTCTACAAACTGATACACTGAGGGTGGCACGGGTAATAACTGCTCTGGATATGTTTTCATTCAGTGTTTTATTCATGATTCCAATATTTTTTAACATACCAGTCATCTCCATCAAGGAAGAGTGACCAAAAAAACTAAACACATTCACTATCATTCCTTTAATTACTGTGTTGCTGGAAATGTGTTGATATCACATTTCAGGTGACCCTCTGAATTGCAACATCCTCACCCCCTCATTCAGAGTGCAGGCACTCTAATGGACTTTAAGGAGTGCAAGTGGGAACTTAGTCAGCTGCTAACATGCCTGTTTAATGCAGCAATCCAAACTGGTGTTGTGCCAGAGATGTGGAAGATGGCTAATTTAATTATCTTTAAATAGTGGGATAAGTCAATTCCATCAAATTAGTGCCCAATAAACCTGACATCAATTGTAGGCAAATTGCTAGAATCCATTACAGACAATATAATACGCAGCCACCTTAAGGTCCAACTAACTGGTTTCCTCGAATTCCTTCGTACACATTAGCTTGCTTACACTCCAACAGCACCTCAATCCATAAAAACCACATGTTTAGTATTTACTTATAAAAACACTAAGTGACCATCAACAAGGATGCAGTATTAAAAATTATAATGTGTATTATATTTTTGTTAAGTCATATATACAATATATTAATTTAAAATAAAATGTACAGAGGCAGTCTCAATTTATTAACTATACTTAAAACAGAAGAGAAAAAGGGAAAACTCTATGGTTTTGGGACAATATATATTATACAATTTTTATTTTCACTATAAAATTATTACATCTGGTTTTGATCCACTAACCTGACATCTGCCTGATTTGATGAAGGTGCACATAACAAATATTTGAAAAAAAAGAAAAGGAATAGCAAAACTCTCTCTCAGAGGCACAGTGTAGTTTACTCTGGTTGTATCAATCCTGTAAAATACAGCAAAAAACTTTAAGTTATAATAACAATAATAATAATCTTTATTTCTACAAGCATATGTACAAGATATACAGACCTAGCTGACATCAATGATATAATATATAGAAAGCCCCTGGTTACACAGAGTGTTTTGGGGAAATTAGGTTAAGTTTGTCCCCAGGATACAACCCCCTAGTCAGCCGACACCCAGGTACCTATTTACTGCTAGGTGAACAGGGACAGCATGTGTGAGCTGAGTGTGCTGCCAACAGAGCTACAGGACACCCAACAAACCTTACATAAGAATGCAAACATTAGTTGAAAGCAACAACTCACATGAAATACAATATAATAACGAATAAAAAAAATGACTGATACTGTATAAAGAAGGCCACAATCAAGTCTTCTTACTCGCCACCCTTGAATGTGGTGTCAGCACAAGGACGGCACTAAGGAGGTGCTTGAGGTGCTTCAACCTCCCAATAAAAAGTAATAATAATAATAATGTTTCAATCAGGTCTCCTAGCCTTCCCTTCAAGCCTGATAACCATCCCTAACAACTTCCCTCTCCAGTATAGAAATACTGATGTCACCCTTGTGCAAGCAACTGTTCAAAGCCTAACATTTGGTGAAGTAACAAATATCGCTTTTTCTCAGACAATTAAGATACTATAATTGCTGAATAAAGTACTGAGGTAAGTGTTGTTGCAGTAAAATACTGTACAATTTAGGTGAAGAGTAAGTGAAGCACTATACAGCAAACCTTTGATTTAACTGACTAACCAAGGGTAGCAAGTGACTAATAATGGCAATTGTGGTAGACAGAGATGAGATTATTTTGCTGTGAATGTAACAAAAATAGCAAAGTCTTTAACCAACACACTTTATCAGTTGATTCTGTTTCAGCTAACCCAGCAGATTTTGTACCATATTTCCAAAGTGCCAAAACAAAAGCATTCACATTGCTAAACTCACAACTAGTATTTAGTCACTTAGCCATAATACCAACTTACCTCATAATTTTGTAATATTTTAAACTTAATATTTAATTTTGCCCGAAATGCCTAGCCATGCTAGGTGTTCTAGTGGTACACTCTGTAATTATTATTTTACTACATGTAAACCACACAATAACCAAATTCTGTAAACTCAGCATTGTAATCCTTATAGAGAATAAACTTTGAATTGAATTGAATTGAATTGAATTGAATTAAATCTAAGTCACTTAACTGAGGGGTTTTCTGTGTAAATATAAAAAATTATAAATGTACTTTATTGAATATATAGTGTATATATACGAGAGAATGAGAGACCCATGACTCATATGAAATGGTAGAGAATCTTTTTCTGAAGGTAATAAAACAAAAAGTACAAAATTTGATGGAAAACTGACGAAATTCTGCTCCCACAAATTTTGCTGTGTCAGCGATATTTACACATTGGCGATTTCACCCACTTTGAGTTTGATTTTAGGCCAATTACATTGCTGCAGTTAACCAAATTCTTAGCTATTTAACTAGAATGCCATTCATTCTATGGACTGAGTACAAGAAACTGCCTATTCACCTATTTCAACTACCAAATAAAGTGATCAGAAATTGGTAATTTGGCCAATTTCACACAAAATTCAAGAAATGCTAATTTCAAAATGTGGTCGAGAATAAACAATGCAGACATTCCTGGCACTAAAATAACATTTTCTCTGTTCATTAGTTACATCCCCAGGCTTCTCCAATATTACACCACAATTCCATTTAGAATTTTATTCACACAAAAAAATTTAATATTTACTGTTACGCAGGATACTGCATTACTGTAATAATTTCATAAATAATGTCTGTGCATTCATAAATGCATATAAGAATGGCCAGATGGATGCGTATTGGATGTGTGACATCATTTGTGTACTCTGGAATATTGACAAAAATCAAACATTTCCACTACTTTGAGCTCAATTTCAAGCTACTTTCAGTCCTGACACCAGTCAAAATCATCTTTATTTCAGTAATATATTTTCCATTCTACCAAATGAGACAAGAAACCTAGAATACAACCATAAAAAACAAACAAAAATACACCACAAAGTGGGTGTTTTAAACCATTAAACACAGTCATAGGTTTTTTATTCCCATTATGCACTGTTTGCTTCAGGATTTTTTTATATGGTGCACACTTTCTGCAAAGGCCCAAATTTACTGCTCACAGCTTATCTGAGTGAGCTAAGCTCAAGGTGCAGAACTATGGGACTGAATCAGGCTTCAGAGCTGTAGTACTACAGGACCCACCTTCAAAGGGCTAACAAACTCTGTCTGTTAAACCAGAAATTTCTGTTATTTTTACAGACAATTCCAGATATAATGGATAAAATCCATTAAATCTATAATTTTCTATTATTGTTGCAATCCACCGAGTAAATTTCCTTTTGGATTTAACCCTTAAACTGTCCAAACGTAGATCTACATTCGTGTGTGAGGGGCTCCAAACGTAGATCTATGTTTTTTTTACATGCTTTCAAATGGGGAAAATAAAGGTCGAAGTGCTACGCACGTGAACGTAGATCTACGTTTGGAAAGTTTAAGGGTTAATGGGCCAAGTCCATTAAGTCCAAAAACTGCCATTACTGTTGCAATCATGGAAAAATGCTAAAAGGCACCCAATCCCCTTTATTAGTTAAATCAATCAAGGATTCATTGTATAATACCAATTTTAACAAGTAACAAAAAAAAATTATTAAGAAAGCCATACCTGTGAATAACAAAGAGTATTACTGTAATCATTCCAGCGAGGACAGAGCCACTAAGGTACCAAGCGGTAACATAGAGAGCAGAAATAAACACTCCATGTAGCCCAAAGACACTTGATACATAAAAAACACTGGGAGACTCTTGAGATGATAGCCATCTGAAATATTACTGCAATGAGACAATAATACACGGTATTGTGCCTTTTTGTTATTTGAGACAATAATAGCTAAATATTAAGCATTCAACAACTTATTCACTGACAAGTTTGGGGATTGTGGCAGTGAACTGGAAAGGTATAGGAGTTGGAGTGGCATATAAGTGAGCTGGAGGATTGTGAAGGTCAGTTGGAAGGGTGTGGGGGTGCTGGAGGGAAGTGGGAGTGTTGGAGGGGCATAGGGGTGTTGGTGAGCTGCAAAAATGTTGGAAGGGTGTGTTTTTGAAGGGTTTGAGTGTTGAAGGGGTTCAGGAGTGTTGGAGGGGTGTGGGAGTATTGGAAGGGTGGAGTGTTGGAAAGTTGTGGGAGTGATAGAGGGGTAATGGAGAGGTACAGAGGTGCCGGAGAGAAATGAAAGTATGTTGGAGTGATGCAAATATATATTCTAAATTAACCACTAGGCTATGACTAGAGAACAAAATCAGAACATGAAGTTCAAGATGGGTTGTGAATGATCACCAAAGCCCCAATCCACTTTTATTTAACTTCTCTTCCTTAGTGCTCAGCCATCTACAGCATGGCCTGTTAATGATGATTCTCAAGAGCAGAGTTTTAATCTCATGGCTCTCAGGATATGATTTTTCTGCCTGGTCATGTTGCAGTGATTACCCTGCAGACCTGACAGCTCCTCAGGTCTCAGTTTGAATCCCAACAATGGAGTAGATTTCTATATAGTTTATAAACATTATTATACTCAATCAAGCCTTAAAACATTAGAATAAGACATCATGGTGCAGGAAATAGACATACATAAAAGGAGAAAATACAATACAGTTTAGGATAAGATTCACATTTCAGGAAAGGGGAGACACTCACCCAGAAATAATAAAATAGTGTTGCAAGAAAAGTGACTTTCACTTGCTGCCAAAAACTACAGAGAATAACAAGCATTTAAAAATACACAGATAAAACTAATAAAATTGAAAAAAAAAAACCTTATGACCTTACCTGAAAGCAGCACTGAGGACAATTTCTGGCAAAATATTGAACCGGTGTATTATGTTGATGGTGCGGCCATGCTCTGTACTGTTGTCTTTCATCAGTTGATTACACCCCTGTCAAGTAACATTTTATCACATACTGTTCTCTTTCTACAGTTTCATATCATTACCTTAACATCAAACTATTATCAACAATGAGAACCATCAGAAAAAACAAAGGCTGGTTAATGAGACACATCTCTCTACATCAAACTTCTGAGTGTCTCTCACCATGTCAATTCTAGAAATTCTCTTTCCAATCCATCTCATGGCTTATGTTGAAAATAAGATACTGTACCAAAGATATTAAGCAAATGTTCTATATTTACTTACAACTGGTAAATCAATAGTGATATAAACCCAAATGTACTCCTGTTAAGGTTGTGTGAACCAGTGGTGTAGACCAGTGGTATAGACCAGTGGTGTAGACCAGAGGTGTAGACCAGTGGTGTAGACCAGTGGTATAGACCAGTGGTGTAGACCAGTGGTATAGACCAGTGGTGTAGACCAGTGGTGTAGACCAGTGGTATAGACCAGTGGTATAGACCAGTGGTGTAGACCAGTGGTATAGACCAGTGGTATAGACCAGTGGTGTAGACCAGTGGTATAGACCAGTGGTGTAGACCAGTGGTGTAGACCAGTGGTATAGACCATGGTGTAGACCAGTGGTATAGACCAGTGGTGTAGACCAGTGGTGTAGACCAGTGGTATAGACCAGTGGTATAGACCAGTGGTGTAGACCAGTGGTATAGACCAGGGTGTAGACCAGTGGTATAGACCAGTGGTATAGACCAGTGGTGTAGACCAGTGGTATAGACCAGTGGTGTAGACCAGTGGTGTAGACCAGTGGTATAGACCAGTGGTATAGACCAGTGGTGTAGACCAGTGGTATAGACCAGTGGTGTAGACCAGTGGTATAGACCAGTGGTGTAGACCAGTGGTATAGACCAGTGGTATAGACCAGTGGTGTAGACCAGTGGTATAGACCAGTGGTATAGACCAGTGGTGTAGACCAGTGGTATAGACCAGTGGTGTAGACCAGTGGTATAGACCAGTGGTATAGACCAGTGGTGTAGACCAGTGGTGTAGACCAGTGGTGTAGACCAGTGGTATAGACCAGTGGTATAAACCAGTGGTGTAGACCAGTGGTGTAGACCAGTGGTGTAGACCAGTGGTATAGACCAGTGGTATAGACCAGTGGTGTAGAAACCCGTGGTATAGACCAGTGGTGTAGACCAGTGGTATAGACCAGTGGTATAGACCAGTGGTGTAGACCAGTGGTGTAGACCAGTGGTGTAGACCAGTGGTATAGACCAGTGGTATAGACCAGTGGTGTAGACCAGTGGTATAGACCAGTGGTATAGACCAGTGGTGTAGACCAGTGGTATAGACCAGTGGTGTAGACCAGTGTGTAGACCAGTGGTATAGACCAGTGGTATAGACATGGTGTAGACCAGTGGTATAGACCAGTGGTATAACCATGGTGTAGACCAGATGGTGTAGACCAGTGGTGTAGACCAGTGGTATAGACCAGTGGTGTAGACCAGTGGTATAGACCAGTGGTGTAGACCAGAGGTGTAGACCAGTGGTGTAGACCAGTGGTATAGACCAGTGGTGTTAGACCAGTGGTATAGACCGTGGTGTAGACCAGGGTGTAGACCAGTGGTGTAGACCAGTGGTATAGACCAGTGGTGTAGACCAGTGGTATAGACCAGTGGTGTAGACCAGTGGTGTAGACCAGTGGGATAGACCAGTGGTATAGACCAGTGGTGTAGACCAGTGGTATAGACCATGGGGATAGACCAGTGGTGTAGAACCAGTGGTATAGACCAGTGGTGTAGACCAGTGGTGTGAGACCAGTGGTATAGACCAGTGGTGTAGACCAGTGGTATTAGACCAGTGGTGTAGACCAGTGGGTGTAAGACCAGTGGTATAGACCAGTGGAATAGGACCAGTGGTGTAGACCAGTGGTATAGACCAGTGGTGTAGACCAGTGGTATAGAAAGTGGTATAGACCAGTGGTGTAGACCAGTGGTATAGACCAGTGGTGTAGACCAGTGGTAAGACCAGTGGTATAGACCAGTGGTGTAGACCAGTGGTATAGACCAGTGGTGTAGACCAGTGGTATAGACCAGTGGTGTAGACCAGTGGTATAGACCAGTGGTATAGACCAGTGGTGTAGACCAGTGGTATAGACCAGTGGTATAGACCAGTGGTGTAGACCAGTGGTATAGACCAGTGGTGTAGACCAGTGGTATAGACCAGTGGTATAGACCAGTGGTGTAGACCAGTGGTGTAGACCAGTGGTGTAGACCAGTGGTATAGACCAGTGGTGTAGACCAGTGGTGTAGACCAGTGGTATAGACCAGTGGTGTAGACCAGTGGTGTAGACCAGTGGTATAGACCAGTGGTGTAGACCAGTGGTATAGACCAGTGGTGTAGACCAGTGGTATAGACCAGTGGTGTAGACCAGTGGTATAGACCAGTGGTGTGGGCCAGTGTATGTAGAGAAATTAATAATAATAATAATTTTATTTCAGCATGATACATGTTTGTACAAAAGAGTATAACAATTGGGTGTATATACCAAAAGCCCCTTTATATACAGAGCATTTCAGGCAAACTTAAGATTAAAACTAGAAAGCCTGCTAGTTTTAGGAATGGCTTGCCATGAGTTCAAGATATGTCTATTCCCTGAATTGTTTACAATCATACATCATTACAATATGAAGATTTTGCAAATTATTGGTATTATACTTTATATGCTAAAGCCAATTTCTCAACACACACTATCTAGGTTATACTATGATTTAATGAACTACAGTATAACATACATCACTGCTAATAAACACATTAATAATGCATTAACGTTAAACTATTTAGGTTATACTACTATGATTTAATGAACAATAACATACATCTTTCTTTTTTCTTTCAACAAACCGGCTATATCCCACCAAGGCAGGGTGACCCAAAAAGAAAAATGCAAGTTTTTCTTTTAAATTTAGTAATATATACAGGAGAAAGGGTTACTAGCCCTTGTCCTGGCATTTTAGTCGCCTCTTACAACACGCATGGCTTACGGAGGAAGAATTCTGTTCCACTTCCCCATGGAAATAAGAGGAAATAAACAAGAGCAAGAACTAGTAAGAAAAGAAAAGAAAACCCAGAGGGGTGTGTATATATATGCTTGTACATGTATGTGTAGTGTGACCTAAGTGTAAGTAGAAGTAGCAAGACGTACCTGAAATCTGGCATGCTTATGAGACAGAGAAAAGACACCAGTAATCCTACCATCATGTAAAACAAGTACAGGCTTCCATTTTACACTCGCTTGGCAGGACGGTAGTACCTCCCTGGGCGGTTGCTGTCTACCAACATACTACCTAGGGTGTTCAGTATTATAGACCATAAAAATCAATTACCAAAATGACTACCCATGTCAAGTGTTCCAAACCACTCAGTATAAAAAACAATTAAATAAGATAGTACTAAAAGCACTAACCTCAATCCATGATGGGGCTTTTATTATTTCCTTAAAATACGAATAGTACAGACCCTGCTCTGTTCGGAAGGATATCTCTCTTTCAATCTCCTGCAATGATCAATATCTTTATTGTAGCCTGTAAAAAATATGATGTGGATATTTTGCATGTCTGGTATACATCACAGAAAAACAATCGAAACAGAAAGCTTTCTAACCTGATGTTCTGAAATCTATTTCATTTATTCTGTTATTAAAAATTATACAATAATCAAATCTTTGGCAATTCCTACTGCAGCCAAATTAGTGGTACTGTACTGTATTAGGTGATTATATTACAGCTCAAGATTCAACAAATTCAAACATTAATGATAATGGTTTTCCAAGAATTAAAAACAAAGAGCAAACATAATTTACAACTTTGTTCCTTTGAGTAATGGGATTAACTTGTAGCCAAGATCGTAAAGTAATTGCTTGTGTGAAACTGCTAATACCTATTTTTAAATTTATTAATGCTAATTGTTCTATGCAACATGGGAATTTCAGAGACAAGAACCATAGCTATCTACCAAAATCAATATTAACTCTACACAATGTTTAGCCAGCACCTGGGCACACACCATTCATACAGCTTTTTATAAAGATAGAGAAAAAGATTTTATTTCTTTGTAAGGGCTACAATGTGTAATTACAATTTTGGTTTGTTAAATATAAAGAAAGCCACTATCATTCTAAGACCTAGCTCACACACACACACTAAGCCACTATCATTCTAAGACCTAGCTCTCTCACACACACTAAGCCACTATCATTCTAAGACCTAGCTCTCACACACACACTAAGCCACTATCATTCTAAGACCTAGCTCTCACACACACACAAAGTCACTATCATTCTAAGACCTAGCTCTCACACACACACTAAGCCACCATCATTCTAAGACCTAGCTCACACACACACACACTAAGGCACTATCATTCTAAGACCTAGCTTTCACACACACACTAAGCCACTATCATTCTAAGACCTAGTTCACACACACACACTAAGCCTCTATCATTCTAAGACCTAGCTCTCACACACACACTAAGCCACTATCATTCTAAGACCTAGCTCTCACACACACACTAAGCCACCATCATTCTAAGACCTAGCTCTCACACACACACTAAGCCACTATCATTCTAAGACCTAGCTCTCACACACACACTAAGCCACTATCATTCTAAGACCTAGCTCTCACACACACACAAAGTCACTATCATTCTAAGACCTAGCTCTCACACACACACTAAGCCACCATCATTCTAAGACCTAGCTCTCACACACACACAAATTCACTATCATTCTAAGACCTAGCTCTCACACACACTAAGCCACCATCATTCTAAGACCTAGCTCTCACACACACACTAAGCCACTATCATTCTAAGACCTAGCTCTCACACACACACTAAGCCACTATCATTCTAAGACCTAGCTCTCACACACACACAAAGTCACTATCATTCTAAGACCTAGCTCTCACACACACACTAAGCCACCATCATTCTAAGACCTAGCTCACACACACACTAAGCCACTATCATTCTAAGACCTAGCTCTCACACACACACACTAAGCCACTATCATTCTAAGACCTAGCTTTCACACACACACTAAGCCACTATCATTCTAAGACCTAGTTCTCACACACACACTAAGCCTCTATCATTCTAAGACCTAGCTCTCACACACACACTAAGCCACTATCATTCTAAGACCTAGCTCTCACACACACACTAAGCCATTATCATTCTAAGACCTAGCTCTCACACACACACTAAGCCACTATCATTCTAAGACCTAGCTCTCACACACACACTAAGCCACTATCATTCTAAGACCTAGCTCTCTCACACACACTAAGCCACTATCATTCTAAGACCTAGCTCTCACACACACTAAGCCACTATCATTCTAAGACCTAGCTCTCACACACACACTAAGCCACTATCATTCTAAGACCTAGCTCTCACACACACACTAAGCCATTATCATTCTAAGACCTAGCTCTCACACACACACTAAGCCACTATCATTCTAAGACCTAGCTCTCACACACACTAAGCCACTATCATTCTAAGACGTAGCTCTCACACACACTAAGCCACTATCATTCTAAGACCTAGCTCTCTCACACACACTAAGCCACTATCATTCTAAGACCTAGCTCTCACACACACACTAAGCCACTATCATTCTAAGACCTAGCTCTCACACACACACTAAGCCATTATCATTCTAAGACCTAGCTCTCACACACACACTAAGCCACTATCATTCTAAGACCTAGCTCTCACACACACTAAGCCACTATCATTCTAAGACCTAGCTCTCACACACACTAAGCCACTATCATTCTAAGACCTAGCTCTCTCACACACACTAAGCCACTATCATTCTAAGACCTAGCTCTCACACACACACTAAGCCACTATCATTCTAAGACCTAGCTCTCACACACACTAAGCCACTATCATTCTAAGACCTAGCTCTCACACACACTAAGCCACTATCATTCTAAGACCTAGCTCTCTCACACACACTAAGCCACTATCATTCTAAGACATAGCTCTCTCACACACACTAAGCCACTATCATTCTAAGACCTAGCTCTCACACACACTAAGCCACTATCATTCTAAGACCTAGCTCTCACACACACTAAGCCACTATCATTCTAAGACCTAGCTCTCACACACACACTAAGCCACTATCATTCTAAGACCTAGCTCTCACACACACTAAGCCACTATCATTCTAAGACCTAGCTCTCACACACACTAAGCCACTATCATTCTAAGACCTAGCTCTCACACACACTAAGCCACTATCATTCTAAGACCTAGCTCTCTCACACACACTAAGCCACTATCATTCTAAAACCTAGCTCTCTCACACACACTAAGCCACTATCATTCTAAGACCTAGCTCTCACACACACACTAAGCCACTATCATTCTAAGACCTAGCTCTCACACACACTAAGCCACTATCATTCTAAGACCTAGCTCTCACACACACTAAGCCACTATCATTCTAAGACCTAGCTCTCACACACACTAAGCCACTATCATTCTAAGACCTAGCTCTCTCACACACACTAAGCCACTATCATTCTAAGACCTAGCTCTCTCACACACATTAAGCCACTATCATTCTAAGACCTAGCTCTCACACACACACTAAGCCACTATCATTCTAAGACCTAGCTCTCACACACACTAAGCCACTATCATTCTAAGACCTAGCTCTCACACACACTAAGCCACTATCATTCTAAGACCTAGCTCTCACACACACTAAGCCACTATCATTCTAAGACCTAGCTCTCTCACACACACTAAGCCACTATCATTCTAAGACCTAGCTCTCTCACACACACTAAGCCACTATCATTCTAAGACCTAGCTCTCTCACACACACTAAGCCACTATCATTCTAAGACCTAGCTCTCTCACACACACTAAGCCACTATCATTCTAAGACCTAGCTCTCACACACACACTAAGCCACTATCATTCTAAGACCTAGCTCTCACACACACTAAGCCACTATCATTCTAAGACCTAGCTCTCACACACACTAAGCCACTATCATTCTAAGACCTAGCTCTCTCACACACACTAAGCCACTATCATTCTAAGACCTAGCTCTCACACACACTAAGCCACTATCATTCTAAGACCTAGCTCTCACACACACACTAAGCCACTATCATTCTAAGACCTAGCTCTCACACACACTAAGCCACTATCATTCTAAGACCTAGCTCTCACACACACACACTATTACAGAATGGTATAAACCTTGGTTACTGATACCAACAAATTAGTTTTAAAAGACACACGAGTAAACACTAGGACATTTTTTTTTTAACATGTCAGTCGTCTCCCACCGAGGCAGGGTGACCCAAAAATAAAGAAAATCCCCAAAAAGAAAATACTTTCATTATCATTCAACACTTTCACCTCACTCATATATAATCACTGTCTTTGCAGAGGCACTCAGATATGTCAGTTCAGAAGTCCCTCCATACTGCTAATATCTCAAACCCCTCCTTTAAAGTGCGGGCACTGTACTTCCCATTTCCAGGACTCAAGTCCAGCTAACTGGTTTCCCTGAATCCCTTCACAAAATATTACCCAGCTCACACTCCAACATTTCATCAGGTCCCAAAAACCATTCGTCTCCATTCACTCCTATGTAACACTCTCACGCATACTTGCTGGAAGTCCAAGCCCCTCACCCATAAAACCTCCTTTACCCCTTCCCTCCAACCTTTTCGAGGACAACCCCTACCCAGCCTTCCTTCCTCTACAGACCTATACACTCTCCAAGTCATTCTACTTTGATCCATTCTCTCTAAATAACCAAACCACCTCAACAACCCCTTTTCAGCCCTCTAATACTTTTAGTAACTCCACACCTCCTCCTAATTTCCACACTCTGAATTATCTGCATAATAGTTACATCACACACTGCCCTTAGACAGGACATTTCTACTGCCTCCAGCCACCTCCTTGCTGCACCATTTGCAACCCAAACTTCACACCCATATAAGAGTGTTGGTACCACTATAATTTCAAGCATTCCCATCTTTGCCTCCATGGATAACATTTTTTGTCTCCACAGATACCTCAATGCACCACTCACCTTTTTTCCTTCATCAATTCTATGGTTAACCTCATCCTTCATAAACCCATAATCTTTATATACAATATAAATTATACCATTTCAAAATTTATTTCTTGAACTGCAACTCTTAATAAATCCACTGTTACATAACAATATAACAGACTTCAGTGGGAGGCCAAAGAAAAAAATGGACCTTGATATAACAGACTTTTGCAATGACCAACAAAATCCACTGGGTGACTTGAATTCATTTATTTTCAACGTTTATTGCAGCACATCTGTAAATTGTGTGTATAGTATTATATTTAAACTTTCGTTTTTCCTTTTGGGCCACCCTGCCTCGGTGGGATACGGCTGGTGTGTCGAAAGAAAAAGAATATTATTCATATTAGGTACAGTACTATACAGCAAAGCACTTTAGTGCTTTTTTTTTATTTTTGAACATTATTCTGCTGTAACAGAGACTCAGAGAAGAGTCTACCCCATTTGTCCGCTATAGTGAAGGTTTATTTTTAAACTTACTCGAAGTATAACTGGAGAGGGTTTTGGGGGTCAATGCCCCCACAGCCCGGTCTGAGACCAGGCCCTGACCAGACTTAGGTTTTAAATAATAAAACATTACTAACAAATGTATTATGCAATCCTTATATACAGTAACTGTGCTCAAAATGCTATGTGTACTGGCAGCTCTACACCTGTATATCCTTATATTTTTTTCAACTCACATTTATGCAAAACAACTTTTATAACTTACATTATAATTACAACACTATGAAAACATGGCCAAAATTAAGCATAGGAACAAGCTGTATATATTAACCTTAATGTTTGAAAACCACAGTTGGTTTTCATGGAGAATATCTAAGTACTGCGGATACTTTGTGAGGATGACCACAACAGCTATCACCCCCAGGGTGTAATTCAAGATCTTCCAAAGCAACCAGTACATGGCTGTCAGTTCCTCTTCAATCTGGAAAAAAAGCAAGACTTGTTTGAGATGGTCTTGGCTGAAGCAATCCCACCTTTCCTTCCATTTTCTATGGCAGGCAACAATAATATATGGCCAACTGAGATCTCACCATTAAAATATGATTACTGCACAAATAAATCTCACACAGGAAACTGAAACTCGTGACAACATTTCAATCTGATTTGGACCATTAATAATAACATCTTTATTTCTACAAGTACATGTACAAAATATACAGGCCTAGCTGACATCAATGACATACTACTACATAGAAAGGTACTTGTTATGCAGAGCATTTCCGGCAAATTAGGTCAGCTTTGTCCCAGGATGCAACCCACACCAGTCAACTAACTCCCAGGTACCCATTTTACTGATGGGGAAGAAACACACCCAATGTTTCTACCCTCACTGGGAATCAAACCCCGACCCTCACCATGTGAAGTGAGAGCTTTAGCCACCAGGCCACGGGCCACCGTATCTAAGTCAGTGAAAACCAAATGTTCAGAGAGGGAAAATTTCAGTTAAGGTACTCCTCTGTGAAAAAATTTAAGAAATAAAAACTGGAACAAAGTATGAAACACACTACTAAATAGAGCTCAAGAGGAATGTAAAAGACTCAGGAGTTATGACGTCAGAAGACTTTACACTGAAGGATCACAACAGTGTTACTGTCATAACCACAAAGAAAAATGATAGATTCTTAGCTGTCTTTAAGAGGGAAATTGACAAGTTCTCCAGACTGTTCCTGATCAGCTGAACTGTGTTGCTTACATAAAACTGCATGCTGATAGCACCAATAGCCTGGTTGATCAGACCATCATCCTGGAGGCTTGGTCTAGGACAGAGGTCGACAAACTTTTTAGGGTACGTGTATTAGCCTAAAACAAATTTGTGTACAGCGAAATTACCCATTTTGCCTTATTGCCAACTATTTTATTTTATTTTATTATCACACTGGCCGATTCCCACCAAGGCAGGGTGGCCCGAAAAAGAAAAACTTTCACCATCATTCACTCCATCACTGTCTTGCCAGAAGGGTGCTTTACACTACAGTTTTTAAACTGCAACATTAACACCCCTCCTTCAGAGTGCAGGCACTGTACTTCCCATCTCCAGGACTCAAGTCCGGCCTGCCGGTTTCCCTGAACCCCTTCATAAATGTTACTTTGCTCACACTCCAACAGCACGTCAAGTATTAAAAACCATTTGTCTCCATTCACTCCTATCAAACACGCTCACGCATGCCTGCTGGAAGTCCAAGCCCCTCGCACACAAAACCTCCTTTACCCCCTCCCTCCAACCTTTCCTTGCCAACTGATCCCTACAAATTAGATTTTTAATATTATTAAGAAATTAAAAATTATTTGTTTGAAAAAATATAACTTTCATAATTTGCCTTGCTAATAATAAATTTTTTGTGCAGTTTTATTTATAAGTTTATTGAGCCTTCATTACCCCCAAGATTTTCATTTTTACTCCATTTAGAATAATTTACTCTGGTTCTCCAACCTAGTGTCTAGGACTAGGCTGCTGGGGCTATATGAACTGCTGAACAAGCAACACAGATAACTGCTTAGTAGAAAGCACACCACAATACATATTAACTGTTATTTTTTATATGGTGTCTGTTAATGGTTCCAAGGTTTATTACCCCTCTGACTTAATCTCAGAAGGGGTATCCAAAATTAGAAAGGAATTACGACATTATTACAGCCTCTCCTCACTTAGCGACATACTCATGTATCAATGACTCGGACTTATTACGGTCTCTCTGACCAGTATACATACCTAAATAATGTATATTAGAGCTGATTTCCTCTATTCTGTTTGTTACAATATAAAGTACAGTACAGTGGACCCCCGGTTAACGATATTTTTTCACTCCAGAAGTATGTTCAGGTGCCAGTACTGACTGAATTTGTTCCCATAAGGAATATTGTGAAGTAGATTAGTCCATTTCAGACCCCCAAACATACAAGTACAAACACACTTACATAAATGGTCGCATTCGGAGGTGATCGTTATGCGGGGGTCCACTGTACAGTGGACCCCCGCATAACGATCACCTCCGAATGCGACCAATTATGTAAGTGTATCTATGTAAGTGCGTTTGTACGTGTATGTTTGGGGGTCTGAAATGGACTAATCTACTTCACAATATTCCTTATGGGAACAAATTCGGTCAGTACTGGCACCTGAACATACTTCTGGAGTGAAAAAATATCGTTAACCGGGGGTCCACTGTACTGTATAAACATTTAAAAATATACTAACAATGTTATAAATGGTACAAAGGTAACATTAAAACAATATCAGAGATGGTTGACACAAACCCACTACCATTATAGTATGCTCCTTGCTTAGCAACAAAGTCATTTACCCACGTTGTCTTAGGAACAGAACTCCGTCGTTAAGTGAGGAGATGCTGTAATATACTTAAAGGGTCATATGGCACCTGAGGAATAGGAAGTACAGTACTTCACATTTGATCCCAAAAAGGAGGGTAGCTCCAACTTTGTATATCAGTAACCTTTTACCAGCATCAAGGCACTCACCTGAAGAGTGAGTGACATTTTATTACTGAGAGACTATATGGTGTATGACAACAAGGTTACCTAAAAAGTATGTGCAAGTCAATGACTAGGGTGAATTTTAAGAACCAAGATGGGGTATGTAACATATCTGTAAGTCTAACCTATACATTATTAACAATAATTGTTAAGAATAAAAATATAAAATAAGTTCTAACCTCTTCATCATGTTCCTCTTCTGTTGAAAAAATACTTTCCAAATAGTCGCTGAAAACTTCAATAATGCCTTTTGATTTAGACACTCCCTCTCCTTCTTTTGTAGGCTTATCTTCATCCTGAATGTATTTCTTAAACACTAAATCCTCATTACTGTCAATAAAATCTTCCCCACCATTTCCATCTTCACTTGAATTTTCTGCAGTAAGGATTTCAGACATTGCATCACTTCTTACACAATCTTGTATCAGTTCTTCATGTTGACTTAAGTGTGATTCTTTTGGTTTCATCTTCAACCCCAAATTCAGAAAAAATCTGCAAAACAAAATTAAAGATAAGAACAATATTAACCACAAAAACAATGAACATATGGTTATAAATGAAAAAACATGGCAGACAAAAAAAAAATTTATAAAATCTTGCATTAGAGGAAAATAAAGATGTAACAACAGATGACAATGGATAATACACTTGTACAAATAACAGAATGGTTCTTCAGTAATTAAAGAAATGTATAGTACTGCAGTATCTCTTATTTCCTGAAAGGAACTTTCAGGGGGGCATTCACATTTTTTTTTTTTTGTTTAGTAACAGTAATGATGAAAATGTAGTCTTACATAGATATGCTTATTATTATACTAATGGGGATGCCCTTAATGTGCAAGGGTCTTACAGTGCTGGGTAACAGGAAATAGGGAATGGGACCAAGAGTTCTTCATCAGCTTCAAGACATCCCCAGACAAGCCATATGGAGTTCTTTTATTAATAACAACATGCAGTAATTGCAAATTGAGATTGCAGGATATTTTTAATGTTTTCTTAGCCAGTTATTTTAATGTCTATTTTTTCCTTGAAACTGAAGCCCAGTCTAGTTGAATTTAAATTATTTTTTCCTGAACTGTTTAATACAGAGGACTCTTGTAGTAGATTTTGTGGTGGCTTATGGCTCAGGAGGTAGTCACTTCAGCTCACAACATAAGGGCCCAGGTCAGAACTGGGATGAGTAGAAATTTTTGGCAGGTTCACCTAGCAGTAGATAGGTAACAGTTTAATTGTAACTGACTTTCCTTATTACCTGCTCTAAATAACTTGAGATCTGAATACAGCATACTTGTGTATGAAGCTAGACACAGATATACACAAGTTATTAAGAATGGGATTAGAATCAATCTTTTGTGGCTTCCCTCTCACATAGGCCTCCAAGAATATGACAATGTTGATGAATTAGCTAAACAAGGATTAAATAATGAGAATGTTGAGAATAGTTCTGATTTTTCAAACAGAAATTCACAAAACATTGTCGGAAAGGAACTGGCGGATGTATTATCCGTCATAATGAAATGTCTCGAGTTAAAGATATCTGTGGAGAAAGTAACAAGGTCAGTAAATTGCTAGATGTTGTTACTGCTAGACTAGGGCTAGGTTATAAGTATCTCTGGCAATACTGTTGTTACTGCTAGACTAGGGCTAGGTTATAAGTATCTCTGGCAATATGCTTTGTACCTGGAGTTTACCTGGAGAGAGTTCCGGGGGTCAACGCCCCCGCGGCCCAGTCTGTGACCAGGCCTCCTGGTGGATCAGAGCCTGATCAACCAGGCTGTTATTGCTGGCTGCACGCAAACCAACGCATGAGCCACTGCCCGGCTGGTCAGGAACCGACTTTAGGTGCTTGTCCAGTGCCTGCTTGAAGACTGCCAGGGGTCTGTTGGTAATCCCCCTTATGTATGCTGGGAGGCAGTTGAACAGTCTCGGGCCCCTGACACTTATTGTATGGTCTCTTAACGTGCTAGTGACACCCCTGCTTTTCATTGGGGATGTTGATGTAAAATGCAAATTGCATTAATGGACTGGTGTGGGCTGCATCCTGGGACAAATCTGACCTAATTTGGGGGAAATGCTCAGCATAACAAGGGTCTTTCTATATAGTAATATGTTATTGATGTCAGCTTTGGTCTGTATACCTTGTACATGTACTTGTAGAAATAAAGATATTATTATCACACATTAACATGTGTAAATTACCTAGGATAACACACACAAAAAAAGTCAAAGTGACATATTTCCATTGGGGTCCTTGTAATGTCTTATTTAAATTAAGATTATTATTATAATGACAACCAAGCGCTAAACCCACTAGGGTCATACAGAGCTTATTATTTGAAATCCAGCAGTAAGTTACAATAGAAATCTATCATGATTAGAACCTTAAAAGAACTCAACTGTGTGAAAATCTGTTGTTTTTTACTTTGTCCGATAATTAAGTTTATTTAGGAACAGGTACACAAAAACACAATTATAATACACTGTAAATTACCCATGATATCCCAAAACTCAAGTCAAAAATAACTTATTCCCATTGTTCTTGGGTTATCCTGGCTTACTGACCATTACACTTCACAATTTTAATAAAATCTTTGTCTTACCCTATAAATGAGTTTGTAATTCACAAATATAATGATATAAATCTATGGTTCAAACTGTGTTGTTGATGATGTTTTGATGTCCAGCACAGCTAGTGTTGTTGTATATGAACATTATACAATATTATACAATACTGACAATATAAATCCCTCAATCTTGGGCTGAGGGACTGATTACCTTGTATTTTGTCTGTAGTTCTACAGTCTTTCCCTTATGTCCTTTAATTTGTATTGATAAAGCCACTGGATGGTAATACGTCTGCAGGTAAGGATACTCAGATGTTGTACATGTGTCTAATTCTTCTGAACCCAGCTTTCTGGGTTCAGTAGTGGTGCCCAGCTTTCTGGGTTCAGTAGTGGTGCCCAGCTTTCTGGGTTCAGTAGTGGTGCCCAGCTTTCTGGGTTCAGTAGTGGTGCCCAGCTTTCTGGGTTCAGTAGTGGTGCCCAGCTTTCTGGGTTCAGTAGTGGTGCCCAGCTTTCTGGGTTCAGTAGTGGTGCCCAGCTTTCTGGGTTCAGTAGTGGTGCCCAGCTTTCTGCGTTCAGTAGTGGTGCCCAGCTTTCTGGGTTCAGTAGTGGTGCCCAGCTTTCTGGGTTCAGTAGTGGTGCCCAGCTTTCTGGGTTCAGTAGTGGTGCCCAGCTTTCTGCGTTCAGTAGTGGTGCCCAGCTTTCTGGGTTCAGTAGTGGTGCCCAGCTTTCTGGGTTCAGTAGTGGTGCCCAGCTTTCTGGGTTCAGTAGTGGTGCCCAGCTTTCTGGGTTCAGTAGTGGTGCCCAGCTTTCTGGGTTCAGTAGTGGTGCCCAGCTTTCTGCGTTCAGTAGTGGTGCCCAGCTTTCTGGGTTCAGTAGTGGTGCCCAGCTTTCTGCGTTCAGTAGTGGTGCCCAGCTTTCTGGGTTCAGTAGTGGTGCCCAGCTTTCTGCGTTCAGTAGTGGTGCCCAGCTTTCTGGGTTCAGTAGTGGTGCCCAGCTTTCTGGGTTCGGTAGTGCCCAGCTTTCTGGGTTCAGTAGTGGTGCCCAGTTTCCTGGGTTCAGGCACTTCAGGGGCAGCAGTGGTGCCCACAGCTTCCTGGGTTCAGGGGCAGTAGTGATGCCCACAGCTTCCTGGGCTCAGGGGCAAAATGGTGCCCACAGCTTCCTGGGATCAGCAGTGGTGCCCACAGCTTCCTGGGTTCAGGAACTTCAGGGGCAGCAGTGGTGCCCACAGCTTCCTGGGTTCAGTAGTGGTGCCCACAGCTTCCTGGGTTCAGGGGCAGTAGTGATGCCCACAGCTTCCTGGGTTCAGGGGCAGTAGTGATGCCCACAGCTTCCTGGGCTCAGGGGCAGCAGTGGTGCCCACAGCTTCCTGGGTTCAGGGGCAGTAGTGGTGCCCACAGCTTCCTGGGCTCAGGGGCAGTAGTGGTGCCCACAGCTTCCTGGGATCAGTAGTGGCGCCCAGCTTCCTGGGTTCAGGAACTTCAGGGGCAGCAGTGGTGCCCACAGCTTCCTGGGCTCAGGGGCAGCAGTGGTGCCCACAGCTTCCTGGGCTCAGGAGCAGCAGTGGTGCCCACAGCTTCCTGGGCTCAGGAGCAGCAGTGGTGCCCACAGCTTCCTGGGTTCAGGAGCAGCAGTGGTGCCCACAGCTTCCTGGGCTCAGGAGCAGCAGTGGTGCCCACAGCTTCCTGGGCTCAGGAGCAGCAGTGGTGCCCACAGCTTCCTGGGTTAAGTAAGTAAGTTTATTCAGGTATACACAAATACAGTTACATAGAATTATCATACATAGCAGCATATGTGTAGAGAACCTAGGATAACCCAAAAAAGTCAGACAGAGTGACTTATTTCCATTGGGGTCCTCAAAAACTTCTTCAATGATTGATTTCTGGTCTCCCATAAGTAGGTCGAGTCCAAATTTGCTTAATTTTGCTCTGAATTCAGCGAAGGGGTTGATGACAGCTTCCACAACTTTCCTGCGGCATTTAAGATAGTTCTCTTTTGACAGGTCTGTGCCATTTACTATTGGAGAATCCTGCATTAAAAACACAAGCTGGTTGTTTCTCACGGTGAGCTCTCCCAGTAATACTGTAACCCCAACATCCTTCGTGGGAAGTACTGGAGCTCTACTTTGAATGCTTGTTGATGCACTATGAAGAATGGATGTGCACCCTTTTCTAGAATATATATTCTTGGGTGCTGCAGGCAGTAACAGCCTGGTTGGTCAGACCCCGACCCACCACGAGACCCGGTCCCAGACCGAGCCGCGGGGGCGCCGACCCCCGAAACCCTCTCCAGGCAAAGTCCAGGATAGGGTGAACAGGAAGGGTGGAGTGGCGAAATTATGGAGTGGCGACATACATCGCCACTCCATAATGATTTCTGAGGGAAATTTTGGCTGCCACACACGCGTTGTCCCCAATTTACCTGGAGTTCACCTGGAGAGAGTTCCGGGGGCCAACGCCCCCGCGGCCCGGCCCACGACCAGGGCCCCCGGCGGACCAGAGCCTGATCAACCAGGCTGCTACTGCTGGCTGCACGTAAGCCAACGTACGAGCCACAGCCCAGCTGGTCAGGTTCAGGGGCAGCAGTGGTGCCCACAGCTTCCTGGGTACAGGGGCAGTAGTGGTACCCACAGCTTCCTGGGATCAGTAGTGGTGCCCAGCTTCCTGGGTTCAGGAACTTCAGGGGCAGCAGTGGTGCCCACAGCTTCCTGGGCTCAGGGGCAGCAGTGGTGCCCACAGCTTCCTGGGTTCAGGGGCAGTAGTGGTGCCCACAGCTTTCTGGGTACAGGGGCAGTAGTGATGCCCACAGCTTCCTGGGTTCAGGGGCAGTAGTGATGCCCACAGCTTCCTGGGTACAGGGGCAGTAGTGATGCCCACAGCTTCCTGGGTTCAGGGGCAGTAGTGATGCCCACAGCTTCCTGGGTTCAGGGGCAGTAGTGATGCCCACAGCTTCCTGGGTTCAGGGACAGTAGTGGTGCCCGCAGCTTCCTGGGTTCAGGGGCAGTGATGCCCACAGCTTCCTGGTTCAGGGGCAGCAGTGATGCCCACAGCTTCCTGGGTTTAGGGGCAGCAGTGGTGCCCACAGCTTCCTGAGTTCAGGGGCAGTAGTGATGCCCACAGTTGCGAGGCGACAAGGAGAAAAGGAACAGCAGTTACCATGGAGAATATAAACGTTAATATTAAGTTTCCGACTACGTCAGGTGGCCCCCACACCCAGACAGAGACAGAGTTAACAACTAGCTTTTCACTGGCTTTACAAATCCGCGGAGCCGGATAGAAGCTGATAAATGGCTGCCTGGACCAACTGCCCAGCTGGCTCGGTATGATGAGAACAAGCGTCCTAGGCAGTTAATGTAGAAATTTCAAACTAATGCTTAGGTGGTCCTCAAAAGCGATATGTTCACATAGTTAAGTTATTTAGGTGTTTTAACTTTTAGGGTTTAAGTAATAAGTTATTACAAGCGCCCCAATGGAAATAAACCACTTTGCCTGACTTTCTAGGGTTATCCTAGGTAATCTACACATTTGTCTATGTATGATAGTTTATATAACTGCATTTATGTGTACCTGTACCTAAATAAACTTACTTAGTACTATACTTTTCTCACTCATGCTTCCTGGGGTTTATAGCGCCAATGATAACTTATGCCGTAGCCGGCCATGTTTCCCGAGTCCGTGGAGAAAATAATACTCAAAACTGGGCAGTGATTGGCAAAATAAAAAAGTTCCCTTCACGAATAGAAACGGGAACATGATTTCCCTTCGAGAATAAAAACCGGAATGAACGTTTCTAGTTAAGTTTGCTGGTTATTGCTCATCTTCCCACCACATCAAGAATCCCAGTGGAAATAAGTTACTGTGACTTTCTGGGGTTATATATCTATCTGAGTTAGAGATTGGCATAACTAACAATCAGAGGCCGTCTGCTGAGTGGAGGGGAAAATAAGCTGATGAATATGGCGTTTCCAACTATCTATTTGTCTAGCAGGCAAGTAGATAGTTGGTCAAGGCTGGCCCAGTCCCTGGACCAAGTATGTACCTCAGTAATTCTTTGACTACCGCCCACAGGATGGGTATGTATAATAAAGATATTAAACTGAAAAAACTAAAACTGGTTAAAGCAGTTTACATGGTCATGAGTCTTAACTTCCCACTGCCCGGGGAAGAAACATTGTTACTTGACTCACAAGATCATAATGACACGATTACAGACAAACCATACCACGGGTGGGGTTAGAACCCGTGGTCAGAGAGTTCTAACGGGCGGGTTCTAGCCCCGCCCATGGTATGGTCTGAAGAAAACATTGTACCAAACCTGGAGAGTAAAACAAGAAGGTAACAAGCATGTCCCCTTTAGGAGAGACACATGAACAAGAGCTTTTAAGTGCAGCATCGTCTTAACAGCAGCACAACACGACGTCAGGTATGTAAATTTTTATTCAGGTACACATAAATACAGTTACATAGATTATTATACATAGCAACATATGTGTAGATCACCTAGGCTAACCCAAAAAAGTCTGACAGATGCATTACATGAGTGTATTTCAATCTGCATGTTGTGTGTGTTCTACAATACTTCAGTTTTATAATGTGTGCTGGATGATGAGTGTGGATGATGAGTGTGGATGATGAGTGTGGATGATGAGTTTTTTGGGAAGTTCTTGAGTATAGTGAAGGACCCCAATGGAAACAAGTCACTTTGATTTTTGGGGGGTTATCCTGGGTTCTGTACACATATGTTGCTATGTATGATAATCTATGTAACTGTATTTATGTATACCTGAATAAACTTACTAACTTAGTTGTTATATACCAGGATGATGGTGGTAAATATTGTTCCTTTGCATGATTATATTATACATGTTGTCCAAACATTTTTATGTGTAAGTTTATGTAGGTACAGGTACACATAAATGCAGTTACACAAATTATCATAGATAGTAACATATGTGTAAATTACCCAGGATAACCCAGAAAAAGTCTAAGTAACTTATTGTCATTGGGGTCCTTGACCCCCATACCTTGACTTACTTAAGTATTAGGTTAAGTCACTATCATGCCTGGGCATGATAGTGACTTTCTCTGTACCAGTCAGATTATGAAATGTAAACACACATTGTAACCCTAGCAAAGAAATAAAGTTTTGATTTTGATTTTTGACTCTAGACAACAATGTTTTGATCATCAGGCAGCAGTTTCAGTCCTATCATAACATTACTCATATTTTATCATCAGCATTACATATACCTAATTCTTTCCTCGTATTATGTATCCCAGTGATTATGGGAGTCAAAAATAATTAATATACTTTTATTCTCTTATTTTTTTGTAAATCTTCATTGTGTTTAAAGCTTTGCAGCATTAAAACAGTGTATGCTAATCTGTCAGTAATCATCAACTTAATCATCAACCTGTCGGCATAAAATACCGACAACTTGATGATTAAGTTGGGTGTCTTT